TAAGTTGACTTGAGGGATTTACTTAAAAAGTAGCAACAAATATTCACATTTATTTAAAAAACTTCAAAGAAATAATATTAACGGTATTGAAAAACCATCCCGTGGCTATTTCCAAATACCCCATTATACGGTATATACGGTATACCGCCCAAGCCTAATTGGGACACTGTGTGTCCTACTGACCTAGGTGCAGCAGGGGTTGGGTTAAATGCGGAAGACACATTTTGGTTGAATGCATTGAGTTGTGCAACTGAATAGGTATCCCCTTTCCCTGTGGTACTGCTTGGCCAATTGATCTAATTTCCTGTTGGTAACGCTAGGCTAGCTATCTCTCTCCAGGTGGTTGAATTCTATTGTGTATGATGTTATTATTTTCTGTGATATTATTGAGTTCTGCTGGAAGGACAACATGAAGCTTATGAATGTCTGCTGCTATTCCCATTAACCCTGAGGAGCTAAGGGACAGACACTGTTCATACAATTTGTAAGTCGCTCTGGATAAGAGCGTCTGCTAAATGACTTAAATGTAAATGTAATTCCACTGCATCTGTTGGAGGTCAGAGCTGTCTAGTACCACTGCTATTTTGTGTGTGTGCGGATGCGTGTGTGTGCGCATGCGTGCATTTGATTTGGGTGACCCGTAAATTCTGGGGAGGTTGGGACTTGGGTGGCATAATAAATTTTTAAAAAATGGAATGATATTAGTTGGTATTGTTATGATGTGTCTGGAGGAGTGCTGGTTTATGCGTTACAATGACCTTATGGGCTGTGAAACACACAGACTGGGGTGTAACACTGCCTAGTGTGAAGACAACACAGCGTCTTGCATATATGTACAATACAATAACCCCTACATCTTCATTCCTTTGTTTTTTTATGTAATTTATTTGAGGTGTAAATATTGATCTGTAATGATGTACTATACTCTGGCATTGCATTGAGAAACTGTGAAATACTGTAATGTTTCTCTGAGCTAATAAAATGATTTTAAAGGATATCTGGATTAGACTGGAATGGAGTGGTTTGGTCTTGTTGATGTGACAGTGTAGTGGGGATGAGAGGAGAGGGATGGTTGGATAGTGGAGGAGGGGAGGATAGGGAGAGAGAGGTGATCGTTGGGACAGAGAGGTGTTTCATGTGCCATCCTGCCCCTTTGGGCTGGCATGTCAGAAGCCTTGTGTGTGTGTGTGTAGTCCCCTGTAGCGCAGTTGGTAGAGCATGGGTTGTGGGTTCGTTTCCCACGGGGGGCCAGTATAAAGAAATAAATATGTATGCACTCACTAACTGTAAGTCGCTCTGGATAAGAGCGTCTGCTAAATGACTAAAATGTAAAAAATGTAAAATGTGTGGAGACAGTGCTGCTGGTATTCCTCTCACATCTCATTATCGGCCCTTTTTATAAGTGGCTTTCAAAGCCCTCTGATTTAATGGTAAGAACTAAATCCCTGGGGTTAAAACCCAGACTGACTGACTGTTATAATAGTGTCCCTGCTGCTCCTCTCATCTCACTGCTACTACAACTACTACCTGGCACGCACTTGTAAATATAGAGACAATGACAGAGTGGAAAGTTATACGTACAGTCATTGTATAGATGGCTACTAGTTAAAGCTTACAGCTCTGTGAGACCCTCGCAGATTCTTCATCTTCTTAATTCCTCTTCAGAGAGAGCGATTCTTGTTATGGGTTACCAACACACACACGCCTTGGCAGGACAGTGTGTTTTGGTCCAGTTGAGGCTGGATGATGTCATATTCGAGACATAGCAGCAGTCGTATACCGGTAAAGAGAGAAACATATGAGACAGTAGCTGGGTAGGACTCTGCTCTGCCAACCTCCTGTTTTTCACTACATGACAAATGAGCCTATTGAGGGACTGGGGAATCAGATACACACACCACCAGATACAGAAGGAAGGGGCAGACAGTTGGAGGAGGGAGATGGATGTGGCTACCTGGAGGAAGTAGTAGAGAATAAATCAGCATCTCAACAACCCAGTATGTACTCTACTCACCACACCTGCTGTTGGCTACAGCAGCAGTACTACGTACATATTCAGCAGGGTGACAACATGGAGGAAACACCAGCCAGGACTTGCACAGACGAGCAAAGGAGCTGTTTGTGGTTTAACTAAACTAAAAATGAACATGCACCTGTGGAACGGTCGTTAAGACACTAACAGCTTACAGACGGTAGGTAATTAAGGTCACAGTTATGAAAACTTAGGACACTAAAGAGGCCTTTCTACTGACTGAAAAACACCAAAAGAAAGATGCCCAGGGTCCCTGCTCATCTGCGTGAACGTGCCTTAGGCATGCTGCAAGGAGACATGAGGACTGCAGATGTGGCCAGGGCAATTAATTGCAATGTCCGTACTGTGAGACGCCTAAGACAGCGCTACAGGGAGACAGGACGGACAGCTGATCGTCCTCGCAGTGGCAAACCACGTGTAACAGCACCTGCACAGGATCGGTACATCCGAACATCACACCTGCGGGACAGGTACAGGATGGCAACAACAACTGCCCGAGTTACACCAGAAACGCACAATCCCTCCATCAGTGCTCAGACTGTCCGCAATAGGCTGAGAGAGGCTGGACTGAGGGCTTGTAGGCCTGTTGTAAGGCAGGTCCTCACCAGACATCACCGGCACAAACCCACCGTCGCTGGACCAGACAGGACTGGCAAAAAGTGCTCTTCACTGACGAGTCGCGGTTTTGTCTCACCAGGAGTGATGGTCGGATTTGTGTTTATCGTTGAAGGAATGAGCGTTACACCGAGGCCTGTACTCTGGAGCGGGATCGATTTGGAGGTGGAGGGTCCGTCATGGTATGGGGCAGTGTGTCACAGCATCATCGGACTGAGGTTGTTGTCATTGCAGGCAATCTCAACGCTGTGCGTTACAGGGAAGACATCCTCCTCCCTCATGTGGTACCCTTCCTGCAGGCTCATCCTGACATGACCCTCCAGCATGACAATGCCACCAGCCATACTGCTCGTTCTGTGCGTGATTTCCTGCAAGACAGGAATGTCAGTGTTCTGCCATGGCCAGCGAAGAGCCCGGATCTCAATCCCATTGAGCACGTCTGGGACCTGTTGGATCGGAGGGTGAGGGCTAGGGCCATTCCCCCCAGAAATGTCCAGGAACTTGCAGGTGCCTTGGTGGAAGAGTGGGGTAACATCTCACAGCAAGAACTGGCAAATCTGGAGCAGTCCATGAGGAGGAGATGCACTGCAGTACTTAATGCAGCTGGTGGCCACACCAGATACTGACTGTTACCTTTGTTCAGTGACACATTATTCAATTTCCGTTAGTCACATGTCTGTGGAACTTGTTCAGTTTTTGTCTCAGTTGTTGAATCTTATGTTCATACAAATATTTACACATGTTAAGTTTGCTGAAAATAAACGCAGTTGACAGTGAGAGGACGTTTCTTTTTTTGCTGAGTTTATATTCTTTCTCACCCCCTTTGAAATGGGTTCTGGAAAGATGTGCCCAGGCTAATAATACTGACCCCAAATCACTGGCTTCCTTAATCAAACACATACCAAATCCATCTAGCTAATGAAATACATACCCCACCAATCTCCTGACCAATCAGGGGTTGTGTTACTGCCAGGTACCTCTGCTCTCCAATCAGAGGTGTGGTTGAGGCTAACAAACATCCTGCCATTAGAAACAGAGCTGGCCTGTACCAACCTGCCTGAAAGGGAGAGAGAGAGCTTTGTGGAGGAGAGTATTTCAATGCCAGCCTTCCTGACTGATGTACCTATTGAGCTATATGACCCCTGACCCCATTTCTCAGACTCCTCCAGGGTGTGCGTGTATGTATGTGTTCTAGTCTTGTGAGCTCAATTTGTTGACCTCTCGCCCCTCTCTCGCCCCTCTAACCCTCTCCCACCAATTGCCATTAACTTCTCTCAACACTCTAACCTTTGGCCCCACCTCTCCCACACTCCACTACTCTTCCCCTCTCCCTCTATCCCCCACTCCCTCCCCCTTCCTCTCGCCCCTTCGACTCCCTGGGCTCTGGGCTCTGTTTCAGAGAGTAAACATGCTGCTCTTTCATCCCTCTCTGAAAATAAACAAGGGATCATAAAACAATGCATCACATGAGGGAAAGAGAGAGTTCAGTCTGGTGGGCAGTGGCTGTGCGTGTCTGTTATTCTGTGAAAGACTGAGGGATTGACAGGGAGAGGGAGATAGAGAAGGAGGGAGAGAGTATATGAGTGAGAGAGAGGGATATAAAGGTCTAGAGCAGGTGTGTTTTTTTGGCTTGTGTTATATTAAACTACAGATTTAAACCTGGTGGCTGAGTGGAAAAGCACCTGGTGAACACGCACACACAGACACGCTCATGCACGTGCACACACATGCGCACACACAAGTAATCCAGACTCAAAACTCTAGCCCGTCCTACTTGCGGTTGGAATCCGGACAGCATGAGTAAGGTGTCCTGTAGTGATCAGTCTCTCTCATGACAAAACAATTGTCTGCTTGCATCACATTTTGGCACCCTGCTGGGGCTCTCCGTCTTTATGGGATGGTAACTCAATCCCCCAAGGCCCAGCTACCCCTCCCATCCCTGTGGAGACTCCCCTGCCATGCCCCCCTATCCCCCTGGATCAAACACCACACATAGCTACAGATAGTCCAGCCCTGTCATAGCTGGCAGAGAGTGCTACTGGATATAGAAACATCAATAGATGGGAAAGTGAGAGCAAGCCTGTAGTCTCTCCTTGCTTACCCTCTTTGCATGTGCAAACGCACACCCACACATGCATGCATACACCAGCATGCACGTGCAAACACACAAACAGTCCTAGGGCGCTGGAATGTTTTTGTTGTTGAGACAATCCCCAAATCACACAGTATCTCACCCCTCCCATCTCTCCCGCCTTTTCTCTCCCCCCCCCCCTCTTTCTTTCCTCTCCTCCCTCCCTCTCTCCCTGCTCACCTCCTCTCTTTCCTCTCTCTCCTTCCCAGATTGTATAAATATCCCTGAGCTATTGAGAGGGACTCAGAGACCTGGGGACCCTGACCTGAGAAACAAACAGACCAGAACAGAGAGAAGAGAGACAGACAGACTAATCGGAGAATAAGAACAACAATCTGCTGTAACACATTGGGGAAATAAAGAAGAATAAGAAACAAGGAAAAATACAATTGAGCAAGAACTAGGTGAAGAGATAGAAGGGGCAATTACCACAGCTAGAGGAAGAAGGGCTGAAACACAGAGTGGTGGAAGAGAGACCCTGAAGAGACCGAGAGCGTGAGAGAGCAGAAGAACCACATCTAGTCTACATCTGTGTGTGTAGCTGTTTGTATCCACCATGTGGCTGCTGCTTAGCCTGTGTGTATTCTGTCTGCTGGGGTACAGTGAGGGGCAGGACCGTGCCACTCTCTGGAGGGGGAATGACCGCAGCGGGCACTGCCAGTACACCTTCACCGTGCCCAGCCCCAGCGAGACCAGCTGCTCCCCTACAGTCTCTGGAGGACCAGAGATGGAGGGGCTCAAGGCTAGACTCAGCCTGCTGGAGGTATTGGTGGCCAGGCTGACTGGAGGGGAGATAGGGGGTCCTGGGGCTGGGTCCCAGTCCCAGGCTGGTCTCCAGGAGGCTCTGACCCAGGCTATGGGAGAGAGGATCCTGCTGCAGGGAGAGAAGGAGCGTCTGGAGAGAGATGTGGAGGAGCTTCAGAGGAGGATGGAGGAGATGAGGAGAGAGACGGAGAGACTGAAGAGCAGACCCTGCTACCCACAACCCCCTCTGGTGCCACCCAACGTCCCGCTACAGGACAGTGGTCTGCGACCTGCTGGAGGTGAGTAACAACATTCTCTCTGTCTGTTCGCTTTTCTACTAGGGTCGGAAAGTTCATAAGATTCCTGATTAAGTGGTGCAAACGTTAAAGACAGACTGTGTTGTAACTGCAAGTGTTCTCTATTCCCTCTAGAAGACCTATTTTTGCTGCAGATCAAGTGTCTTGTGGTTTTATAGTGAGTCAGGAGATTCTGCGTTAACTGGAAGAGCTGAGTAGAAATGTGACGCACACACTCAATGATGAGGCTCTTTCCTGTAACATAGTGGATGCCACAGACCTGTGTATGGGTGGGTGGGTGTGTGCGTGTGCATGTCTGTGTTTGGGCAACACAAGCAAGGATGCAGAAGTAGGGTCAGGTTTCTCAGCTATCGGTCTGTTTTAAGGCGCAAAGGGAGGGAGAAGGTTATAGAGGACAGGGTTACGACCAGAGCCTTCCCTATGATGGTGCTTCCCTGAACTTCCTCCTACATTACCCGGCGGGGTGTAATGTAGGGGGAAGTTCAGTCTCACCTCCATCTCACCTTAGGTTTGATGACGCTCCCCTCTGTCGGTGTGTGTGTGTGTGTGTGTCTTGTAAAACTGAGATTGCCTTCAACCGTAAATCCGCCTTTCCCAACGTCCCATACACCACCTCCCTATCCCATTATTCCAGAGCAGCCCTATTGGAGCAGCCCTACTGGTCAGCTGTATTGAAGCAGCCCTATTGGAGCAGCCCTATTGGAGCAGACCTATTGGAACAGCCGTATTGAAGCAGCCCTATTGGAGCAGCCCTACTGGTCAGCCGTATTGAAGCAGCCCTATTGGAGCAGCCCTATTGGAGCAGCCCTACTGGTCAGCCGTATTGAAGCAGCCCTATTGGAGCAGCCTTATTGGAGCAGCCCTACTGGTCAGCCGTATTGAAGCAGCCCTATTGGAGCAGACCTATTGCACTACAGCCCTAAAAGGAGTTCATATATTTCCCTGCATGGCACTGTGGCATCTGGTTAGATCCTCCTGTAAGCACCTGCAGGCTAAAACATACAGAGAAAACGCTGGGGGAGCACCATACAGCTCCATACAAATGGGGACACACACCCAGGGGACGGGCATACGGAAAACAAATCACAGCCAGAGAGAAGGAAACATGACAAAGGGAAGAGAGGAGTAAAAAGTAAAACAATTACAGTGTTTCCCCTATATTAATTGAGCAGCGGTGCTGCCACTCCCAAAAATATGACAAAATAAAATAAACGTTCAATATTTCTTTCAAGACACGTTTTTAAAGGGATATTGCGAAATGTTGGCAATTAAGCCATTTTTCGACTTACTCGGATTCAGATGAACTCATAGATACATAGCATGCGAGCTGTTCCCATAGACTTCCAGTCATTGCGCTAACACTATTTAGCAATGGCTCGCGAAACTACCTTCAAATTCCTTCAAACTGCACGCAGAGACATAAAATGGTATCCATGAGTTAATCTGACCCTGGGTAAGTAGAAAAAGGGCTTAGTTGCCAAAATCTTGCACTATCCTTTTAAGATCAGAGTGACAAGTTACAACTATATTTGTAGCAAACTGATTCAACAGTGGCTCAAATGAGAGCCATGAGCACACAGCCACCGCTTGCTCCTCACAATCTCCCTACAGTGCAGTGGTGGGCATCAGTTAAATATCAGATGGTGTGAACATAATTAAATGTTCATGCATTTTGGAGTAGAATGTCCTTTTAAAAAGTCACCAGAAGTAGCCTTCTCTCAGTCATTATACAAAAAAATCCCCCCTACCTTTGCCACCGCTACCAAAACAAATCCTAGGGGAAACACTGCAATTGCTGTGGAAGTGTGTGCATGTGCGTGTGCTCGCATATGTGTGTTGAGGTATGGTAAAGGGGTTCCTGGTTTTAACAGCCGTCCGCTCAACAAACACAACAGAAATCCCCAGCTGATCTCAGCTGATAGAGCTCAGCTTTACTGGACCAGTTCAAATACTGTGGGCTCTTTACTAGGTAAGATTAAAACACCTATCTGGCCCTATAACAGGCCATGCTTTATTAATGTCTCCTTTTATTGTTTAACTCAATGGGACTTACTGGTTAAATAGTGGGTAGCTAGGGCTGGTCAGTCAGAATTAGGCATCTAGAAGATGAGGTTGTTTCTGATGGTGAACCAGGTGAACATTGTGTCTGAAATATGAAGTGGGTTTCATATCGGTTTAAAAAACATCTGTAGCGACTGACTCACCTCTGCCTAAATATATTTTGTTACGTTAGTTTTCTAATGGGTTATGAAAAGACACCTTTGTTGTAGAATAGATGTTATCAACAGCAGCCAAGCCAAGAGACCCATGGTGAGCATGACTGCATCCAAGAACAACAGCTCTGCTACACAGCAACATTCAGGTGGACTGACACGTGCTCTGAGACTGAGACTGAGGGAGGCAGAGCAGAGCAGCCTTCAACCAAATAACTCTAATAGCACATGGTTAGAAGGGCTGATTGGGCTGTCCTCAGAGAGCATGCATGTGTGTGTGTTCATATGTTTTGGTGTTTCAGTCTGGGGGTCTTGATGTTCTGCCGGATTTGCGCCATCACACATAACACACACACACATGAACAATATGCACTTGTTTACCTGAGATTATGAATGACCTGGCCCTCTGGGAACACTTATGTAGTTCAGGGAAGCAAGACTCTCCCCCTCATCCTCCCTTACCCCTCTCACCCCACCAGCCTCCTCTCCCCATACTCATCCACCCAGAAAGCATCCTTGACCCTGGCCATACAAGGCATGAACAGAAGCAAACGATAATGGACATTCTCATTGGGCAAGTTCAGGCTGTACTTCCTCCATTTCAAAACCCCTTTCTTCTGTTTTGTGCCTATTGAACGTAGCCCTGGTCTCCCCCCTTCAAATCCCACACCTCTCCTCCTCCTTCTCATTCAACTTTACCCCAACCTCACCTCCCCTCTCCATCAAAAGAGGAAATCAATATCAGCTTCCAGATGCTAAGACTAACATGTGCTGCATCATTTTGGCTCATTAGGAGCCTGTAAACTCTTCACACACATGCACGTGCACACACACACATGCATTGTACCATTACAAGGCTGTAAACACATTAACACATTAGCATCCATCGCTGTTGTAGATCAGTCACAGCTGCTGTTTATCAACATGTCTGAAGAAACTATCAATTGTAATGATTGTCTGAGGGGCTGAAGGGAGCGGGAGAGGGTATGGAGCAGAGGGGATGGGGAGTGATTGGTGAGGCTTGGGGGAGTGTTTGGCGTTGTTCCAGTTGAACTAAACTGGTATGAGGAATTGCTATCTGTGGCAGCAGGGCAGGTGGCGGAGGGGCTCCAAGACTGAAGGTTTTGTGTGTGTCTGTGTGTGTCTGTGTGTGTCTCTGTGTGTGTGTGTGTGTGTGTGTGCGTGCGTGCGTGCGTGCGTGCGTGCGTGCGTGCGTGTGTGCACGTGCGTGCCTGCGTGCCTGCGTGCGCGTCCAACAGTCCGGCAGACTCCACAGTAGCTGGGAATCCACTCAGGAGTGTTCTTTTCCTCTGCTTACATTCCCTGCTGTCAGTAGTATTGCCAGAGACCCCCCTCCCAGCACACACACACAGATATACCCCATGGCTGGCTGATCTGGGCCGCTCTGGCCTCAATGGTCATTGAATAGTCAGGGTTGGTGCCGTCAGTCAGTGTGACCATTGTGTGTGATACTAAATCCAGTATGTATTTGCAGGTGCTGGTGTTCTCTCTCACCTGGTTTCCAGACCTGGAAGACAATGGGACACTGGCAGCCTGAGAGGTATGGCGTCTTCTGTAAAACCACTGAGTGTGTGTTTGCATGTTCGCGTACATATCTTATTTCAACAGAATGAATATAGCCTAATAAAAAAGTAAAAGAATAGGACCTCCAATAAAAGTAGAGCAGTTAGGCCATGAAGACAGTGTCCAGTCCAGTGTCATGGACAGATGTGCCAGGAGATGCTCTGTCTTTGAATGAGTCTTGGTTTGATGCAGTCATCCCACCTGCAGCTGGAATGTGTCAGCAATGTGTCGCAGGTAATCTATCAGGGGTCGATTGTGGTAGTCCCCAACAAGCCGCTTTACCTTCTCTTGGCTAGTGCAGACTCTCTCTGGTGATGGTAGGTTGCCAGCGAAGTACTGCTCCAGTTGAGGTTCAGTCAGAGCCTGTTGTTGTCGCAGGGCATCGATGAACTCCAGAACCGTGGGGTGTGTGGCACCAACAAGATCCCTGAAGGCCTGATGCTAGTCCTCCAGTGCCTTCCCACTGGGAACAGACTGAAATGACGTGGAAAATGTTTTGATTCAACCACTGTGTGCCCAGTGGATTGTTGGTCTTCACAAAGTCTTGCTGCTTGACAGCATCGTAGTATTTCCACATTTCTGAAATATACGTAGAGACATTAGACACCGTGCAATGCTTTAATACTGTCATAATAATAAATATTAGGTCTATAGGTACGTTTTAACAAAACGTACCTATGGCAAATGCCGAAGCTCTTCTGGTGACTTCTCCTGGAGATGATCTCCAGGGCCTAATGAATCTGAACTCAAAGTGCCACACAACATCGTGCAGCTCCCGGCCCTGAGAGTATGTGGGTAATATCAGCTCCTCCTTCTCTCCACATCAGCCAGGTGGACAAATGCTAGCGCAGGGAGTATCTTGAGGTGGAGGGCGAAGGTGGGGTCACTGCGGTACCTTGATACCAGCTCGTCATGGCTCTGGATAAATTAGTCTTCCATGTACCGCCAAAAGTTCTGGCTCAGATGGAAGAAGGAACCCCGAATTTGTACCTCTTGAAACCTTCATAGCTACTGGTGCTAAGTCAGTCATGATAGAGTCTGGTTTCATCTCAAGCTCCTCAGTGCCTCCAACACAAGAGTGTAAAAAGCCTAAAAAATATTAAATATATAGGTATAAGATTAATTGCATGATCAACTCAACATTGCTGTAAAGCATTATGTTTTATGAACCCTTCATACAACATCAATAGTATGCTAATTGTTGATGCTTACCTCAGAATTATAGGGCAGTAACAAATAGGCTGCTGGAATCACGGTTGACTGTCGCAGCCCCGAAATGCTGTACAACTGCTGAAACAAAGGTGGGGCTGCTTTGAATGATCCATCTACACACCAGGATGGGGACTGGCACAGGAAATCCACGTTGCATGTCATTGTGAAGATAAGAAACCTTTCTGGTCCTGGTCCACTGTCATGCTGGAGGAACAGCTCTCCACTCGCCGTGCCACCGTAGCTCTCGGGGAGGAGCAGGTCGGAGAGGGTCGGTACAGGGGCGCCTGGTTGTTCTGTAGGTCCTCCTGTTAAAAAGGCCAGGGCTTACTAAGACAAAACAAAAACACAACTGCCGAACAGGCATTCACACGTCAGGGTCTCCAGTTCCTCCTTCAAAACCAGCCAACCCTCTACAATCTCCGATCCGTACATGGCATGGTTGTGTTCTCCCACCATCTTGGTGATACGCCCGGCTGTGAGGGTGATGTGACCTTTGCACTTGTACTGATCTTAACTGGTGCACTTCCAGAACCGCTTATTTGTAGTAAAGCTATCCTCTCTGTAAATGTAGCCATTATGTGCCAGGACAATGGTCCAAGGTTTGTTCGGGCCAGCATCACCAATGTCATAGAGTTTCATTGTAGCTCCTTGTTGGTGACCTCCCCCCCCCCCCCACTCCAGACCCAGTTTGGCAGTATGGTGGTAATGCAGGGTTCCAGGAGTTGAAGGCTGAGGTGACTGAGATTCCTGCTCCTATTCCCGAGGGCCCAGAGGACAGCACAGGTGAGACACACACCTGAACACACAGCTGTCCTGAACACACACCTGGAATATCAAATTGTTAATTAACCTGACGCGGTCCCAACAGCCCCATTATTATTGCACAGTAACCCCCCCCCCCCACCCCACCCCTGTACAGCGAACCCACAGAATACCAGGGCAATATCAAGGCAAATATCAGGGCAAATACCAACACCAGAGCATAAGAGACTGCATGGGTTTGTATATTTAGTGCCTGACAGGGAGTGAGATCCATTGAAGCTCTCTGAACACACTGAGTGGCACATCTATGATAAGATTATCTCCATCATACACGTTTACCTTGGCACATTTCTGTTGCCGTTTCTGTCACATCTTGAAAAAGACAAACGTCAAAAAAATAAACATGCTGAGAAGAATATGGTCCTCTGTAGCTCAGCTGGTAGGGCACGGCGCTTGTAACGCCAAGGCAGTGGGTTCGATTCCCCGGGACCACCCATACACAAAAAAATTAAAATAAAATGTATGCACGCATGACTGTAAGTCGCTTTGGATAAAAGCGTCTGCTAAATGGCATATTATTATTATTATTATGAATGTGTGTGCTGGAATAGTTCACATCAGTGATGGCTGTGCCTGTAACACCTTTATATTTAACCTTACATCCAGAGATACACCCTAACCCCCCCCCCACCCCCCACCCCACTTATGTGCCTCACACACACCATTCTGTCTTGAATATCCTAAAGGTATTTTAGGAAATTGTAAATATACAGCAGCCTGATCATTCTCTGAGTGAGAGACTTGTGGTGGAGGATTCCTTCCTGCATCTGATCAGCTGCTGCTGTACTAACTCTGTACCACACACACACACTCATCAGGTATGTCAAACCAACACGCTGTAGACCTACTATCTGTCTCTAAAGACAAATTATCATCTCTCATATCTTTCAGCAGCCATGACTTATTCCCTCCATCCCCCTATCCAACAACATGATTTACTACAGATCATCTCTACACACACCTCTTCCCCCCTCTCTCTCCCTCTCCCTCTCGCTCTCTCTCTCTCTCTCTCTCTCTCTCTCTCTCTCTCTCTCTCTCTCTCTCTCTCTCTCTCTCTCTCTCTCTCTCTCTCTCTCTCTCTCTCTCTCTCTCTCTCTCTCTCTCTCTATATATATATATATATCTTACAGGGTGCATCTCAATAGTCTAAAGTAGTGTCCTCACCCCTGACACCTCTAACAACCCTGTCCCTCTAACTGCCCCCCATCACCCCTTCTCTCTCTTAATCTCTCTAACTGCCCTCTCTCTCTCCCTCCCCCCTCCTCTCTCCCAGGTTGTGGGGAGTTGATATCAATAGGTGAGCCAGTGTCCCATCGTAAGGCTGACAGTATAGCTGGTAAATACGGGGTGTGGATGCAGGACCCAGAAGCTGTGGCGCCCTATGGAGGGAAGATGGTGTGGCGCATTGATACAGTGGGGTCAGAGGTCAGACAGCTCTTTGGTTACGAAGACATGGATCAGCTCTCTAAAGGCTTCCCCTCCAAGGTGGGTGACTGACTGACTGGCATGGGATAGTCCTAGAGGCTAACCTTAACCACAGATCTAGGATCAGATTACCTTCTCCCTAACCAACCCTTAACTTAACCATGATAACATATTGAGGTATAATGTAAAGGGTGACCATTGACCAGAATGTATTATCATGATCTATTACAAGGTGTTGCTGTTGCCGGAGCCAGTGGAGAGTACAGGAGCAACTCTGTACCGTGGCTCTCTGTACTACCAGCGCCGCCGCAGCCGCACCCTGCTGAGGTACGACCTGGCGTCTGAGAGCATCGCCGCCCGCCGAGACCTGCCCCACGCCGGCTTCCACGGCCAGTTCCCCTATTCCTGGGGTGGCTACACCGATGTGGACCTGGGGGTGGACGAGAAGGGCCTGTGGGCTGTCTACAGCACCAACAAGGCTAAAGGAGCCATAGTGGTGTCCCAGCTGGACCCACACAGCCTGGCAGTGAAGAGGAGCTGGGAGACCAGCATCAGGAAGACCAGCGTGGCTAACGCCTTCGTCATCTGTGGTCGTCTGTACACAGTGGCCAGCTACACGGCTCCCAACACCACCATCAACTTTATGTTTGACACAGCTACAGGCCAGGGAAAGGAGGTGGCTCTACCCTTCAGGAATAAGTACCGATACAACAGCATGGTGGACTACAACCATGCCCAGAGGAAGCTCTTCGCCTGGGACAACTTCCACATTGTGTCCTACGACGTCAGGCTGGGCCGCCAGTAGAGGAGCTGAGGAGGCCTCTTCATACAAACCAAAGACTTTCTCTTGTCTGTCCTTTAAAGACTGACAGCTTTAGAGCAACTAGTGTGGTAGTAAGTTGTTAGTGTTATTCACCACCTTCATCAATGCACAGGCCTAGTAGTTACCGTAACTGGCCACAATAGTGATTGAGATTTAAGATTTTTCTAGCAAATTGCATTATGAATGGAACCCTCTGCAGGTATCTTGTTTCAGTGGAAAGGCATTTGCCGTGGCACGGTCCACAAATATGTTTATAGAGGAATTAGTTGTCTACTGTTTGGTCATCAGAGTAGTGCTTTTATTGTGTTTCATGTATAGTTTTGAGAAGTGGATTGGGGGCAAAGCCAACATTATCAAGTCTACTGCTCTCAAACATCCGTGATCATACAAGGTCTAATGTGTGTACTGTGTTTAAAACTAATTATGTTCAGGGACAAACTTGCTGCTCTCTCTAGCTCAGCACGTATTGAAATATTGCATGTTCCTGTGCATTGTACTTCTCTATATTAAATGATGTACAAATTCATACCGAGGTCTAATAAAGGTTATCTATTCTAAACAATGTTTATAGTTTATTATCCACTCCACACACGCTCACAGAACCTGCCTCAGTAACAAATCACACATACAGTATGAGTATAGTCTTGGTTTGGAGTCTGCACTTTAGAAAGCAAAAAGTCTGTGTTCTTAAAACCCACATAATCCAGGTTGGACAAAGGACACAATACATCTTGAGTTCTTTCAGTTTAAGGAAAGCAGATACCGTGCCTTCAGAAAGTATTCACACCCCTTGACTTTTTCCACATTTTGTTGTGTTACAGCCTGAATTTAAAATTGATTAAATTTAGATTTTGTGTCGCTGGCCTACACACAATACCCCATAATGTCAAAGTGGAATTATGTTTTTAGAAATTTGTACAAATTCATGACAAATTAAAAGCTGAAATGTCTTGAGTCAATATTGTATTCAACCCCTTTGTTATGGCAAGCGTAAATAAGTTCAAGAGTAAAAAGGTGTTTAACAAGTCACATAGTAAGTTGCATGTCTCACTCTGTGTGCAATAATTACATTTACGTCATTTAGCAGACGCTCTTATCCAGAGCGACTTACAAATTGGTGCATTCACCTTCTAGCTAGTGGGACAACCACTTTACAATATATATATATATTTTTTTATTATCTGTTAATGTTTTATTTTCTAAGGGGGGGGGTAGAAGGATTACTTTATCCTGTCCCAGGTATTCCTTAAAGAGGTGGGGTTTCAAATGTCTCCGGAAGCTGGTGAGTGACTCCGCTGTCCTGGCGTCGCGAGGGAGCTTGTTCCACCATTGGGGTGCCAGAGCAGCGAACAGTTTTGACTGGGCTGAGCGGGAACTATGCTTCCGCAGAGGTAGGGGAGCCAGCAGGCCAGAGGTGGATGAACGCAATGCCCTCGTTTGGGTGTAGGGACTGATCAGAGCCTGAAGGTACGTTTTTAACATCATTTTTGAATGACTACCTCATCTCTGCACCCCACACATAAAATTATCTGTAAGGTCCCTCAGTCGTGCAGTGAATTTCAAAAACAGATTTAAACACAAAGACCAGGGAGGTTTTCCAATGCCTCGCAAGGGGCACCTATTGGTAGATGGGTAAATATAAAAAAGCAGATATTGAATATCCCTTTGAGCATGGAGAAGTTATTAATTACACTTTGGATGGTTTATCAATACACCCAGTCACTACAAAGATACAGGCGTCCTTCCTAACTCAGTTGCCGGAGAGGAAGGAAACCGCTCAGGGATTTCACCATGAGGCCAATAGTGACTTTAAAACAGTTCAAGAGTTTAATGGCTGTGAAGGCAGAAAACTGAGGATGGCTCAACAACATTGTAGCTACTCCACAACACTAACCTAAATGATAGAGTGAAAAGAAGGAAGCCAGTACAAAATAAAAAATATTCCAAAACATGCATCCTGCTTGCAATAAGGCATTAAAGTAAAACTGCAAAAAATGTGGCAAAGAAATTAACTTTGTCCTGAACACGACAGTACCACTCAACATATTTTCAGGACAATAATCTAAAACACAAGGCCAAATATACACTGGAGTTGCTTACCAAGACAACATTTAATGTTCCGGAGTGGCCTTGTTACAGTTTTGACTTAAATCGCCTTGAAAATCTATGGCAAGACATGAAAATGGCTGTCTAGCAATGATCAACAACAAACTTGACAGAGCTTTAAAAAATTGATTTACAATAATTTGCAAATATTGTACAATCCAGGTGTGCAAAGCTCTTAGAAACTTCCCCAGACTCACAGCTGTAATCGCTGCCAACGGTGATTCTAACATGTAATGACTCAGGGGGTTGAATACTTATCAAATCAAGATGTATTAGTGTTTTGGGTTTCATAAATTGTAACATTTGTTAAAAAAATCTTCCACTTAGACATTTAGAGTATTTTGTGTAGATCGTTGACAATTTTCAATTTTAATCCCATGTGTAACACACCAAAATGTGCAAAAAGTCAAATCGGTGTGAATACTTTTTGAAAGCACTATCTGAAGCAACAATATCTAAATTCAACTTTCAACGTCGCAGCTGTTTGATTGGTTGGCTCAGACTCTGAGACCCATAAATCGGAGTAGGTAGAAGTTGCCCCAACCACTGATACAGGGTCAGATTTTGTATCCCTCTAATGGTAATCAGATGCTAGATCAGGGGTTAATCGCTGTGTTTCTTCTTCTTGCTGTCTGGTGTGCCGTTGTCCTGAGAGGAGAATTGTTAAGACATGGCTGCCAGAGCGCGATACCGATGGGAAATGGTGTTCTTCACCTCCTTGGGTAGCTCAGCACAACTACAGGGATGAGAGAGAGAGAGAGAGAGAGAGCAGAGAAGAGAGAGAGATCATTTACAATTATCAGTGAAACTGGGAATAATCACTATCATTAGTTTCCGTCAAGCAGATGGACATAACATACAAATAGACTTTTGCTGCCCCCTAGTGGTCCAATAAAGACAGGTAAAGTGTGATGCATAAACCCAGACTCTTGCTAGTAAAATAAATGTCCTGCATTAAGTCCTCCTTATGTTTTGTCCTATCAGTCTGGCTGGAAACAGGGGTCCCATCCAAAGTCTCTGGGGCCTCTAGGCTCTACAGTGTGACCCAAAACAGTTCAGATAAAAAGCATGTACACTAACGTTCAAAAGTTTGGGGTCACTTAGAAATGTCATTGTTTTCAAAAGAAAAGCATTTTTTTGTCCATTAAAATAACATCAATTTGATCAGAAATACAGTGTAGACATTGATAATGTTGTAAGTGGCTATTGTAGCTGGAAACGGCTGATTTTTTTTGTGGAATATCTACATAGGCGTACAGAGGCCCATTATCAGCAACCATCAGTCCGGTGTTCCAATGGCACGTTGTGTTTGCTAATCCAAGTTTATAATTTTAAAAGGCTAATTGATCATTAGAAAACCCTTTTGCAATTATGTTAGCACAGCTGAAAACTGTTGTGCTGATCTCCTCCAACACTACTCACTCTGCCCCTACTCAGATGGTCCAATTTGTAAGTCGCTCTGGATAAGAGCGTCTGCTAAATGACGTAAATGTAAATGTAAATGTAATGTGCCGTCGCAACCGTCGCTCTCTCTCTCCCGCTACTCTCTCCTCTTCCATCCTATCATCCCTTCCCTCTGCTAAATCCTTCTCCCTCCGATCTCCTGATTCTGCCTCCTCAACCCTCCTCTCCTCCCTTTCTGCATCTTTTGACTCTCTATGTCCCCTATCCTCCCGGCCGGCTCGGTCCTCCACTCCTGCTCCGTGGCTTGACGACTCATTGCGAGCTCACAGAAGAGGGCTCCGGGCAGCCGGGAGGAAATTGAGGAAAACTAGACTCCCTGCGGACCTGTCATCTTTTCACTCCCTCCTCCCTACATTCTCTTCCTCTGTTTCCGCTGCTAAAGCCTCTTTCTACCACTCTAAATTTCAAGCCTCTGCCTCTAACCCTAGGAAGCTCTTTGCCACCTTCTCCTCCCTGCTGAATCCTCCTCCTCCCCCCCCCCCTCCCTCTCTGTGGATGACTTCGTCAACCATTTTGAAAAAAAGGTTGACGACATCCGATCCTCATTTATTAAGTCAAATGACACCGCTGGTCCTGCTCACACTGCCCTACCCTATGCTTTGACTTCTTTCTCCCCTCTCTCTCCAGATGAAATCTTGCGACTTGTGACGGCCGGCCGCCCAACAACCTGCCCGCTTGACCCTGCTGACCTTCTAGGCAGAGTTGCAAAGAAAAAGCCATATCTCAGACTGGCCAATAAAAATAAAAGATTAAGATGGGCGACGGGTATACAGAGATTACCAGTTTACAGAGGAGTATAGAGTGCAGTGACGTGTCCTATAAGGCGCATTGGTGGCAAATCTGATGGCCGAATGGTAAAGAAAGGCTATGTAGTTTATGAGTCATCGCTTACCTTCTGGCTTCAGTTTATCCAGGAACCATTTTCTACATGAAACAAACAATAGATTCATTTTCAATAAGTTAATTAATGGAAAATACTACTAGTGAGTCATATTAGAGGATCCCACAGGCTCTACAGAGAGGTTATAGAGGCGAACTCACATGTAGGGTCCTGGTAGGCCTCACAGTGCTCTGAAACACAGACAGGTGTCCTCCACTATGACTGGCCCATCCACCTGAGAAAAGAGTCACAGACCGACCAGGGGGTACATGAACAACACTATTAATTGATCAGAATCCAGACCATTAATAAAAGGGATGGGAGTTTTTGCTGGCCATGAAAACACATGATAAAGAACAGGTAAGAATAACCCAATATCAGCATAAAAATAATAGTCCAAACTGTCACAGCTGTTTTGCTGCCTCCTTACACTTCTGTATGGAGATCTCATCTGGTTCACCTTGGTATTTAGGCACTGAGGAAAACAGTAATTTAGTCCCAGATGAAAACATAAGAATAGATGTTGTAATTCAGTAACAGTTTACTTCGTAATTCCATTGATAAGGTGTACTCACAGTCAATCTTCTTGGACACTAGTTTGTAGGGAAACTTGTCCCCCAGGATCTGATCACCTGTTGGTCAGAGAACAGAGGAGCAGTATTTTATAATAGCATGGACTTTTAGTCGGACTGCAGAACTTCTGTAACTCAGTTAACGCTATCTCTGTACAACACATATGTCTCCATCTCATTTTAGCGGCTAATAACAGCTATCAAAACATTTGATCTGTGCAGGTGTAATCTAAAACCACCACCACCACCACATTCCCCGTCATTCATTTCCATGCCTTCACAGGGGTTGGCTGCCATGGCTTGAGCCTAAGTAAAGCCTCTAATAAACAGTACACGTTGCAACGTTTAATGTTCATAGTACGCCTTTTCTACATAGAATATCGATTAATGTGAACCATTCTGCCACCTCTTCTAGTTTATTTGCGTTTCCAGTCACGAAGACCACAGATTTCCCCGTTGGGACAGCCATGTTGAAGCCTCTTGTTGTCCGAAAGATAATTACCGACGGACCAGAACTCGCAAGGCCGCAAAGACATCCGGCTCTGCATCAGCCAATGACAGGCTTCTTTAAAGAATCTCAACAAATCAGCATTAGACTAAGAACGCCGCCTATGCAGCGCTATCCAATCGGAATGTAGTTGTGTACAGCTGGGAATAATGTCCGGGTGAACATGCCATGTGGGGAAGATAGCTGAAAATGCCAGCATTTCTAGCTTGGTAATACGTTTTTGGACCAATTGACAATCTACCAATTGATATCGTTAGACAGTTATGATGTCCTGCAAGTTCCTGAATCTTAGCTAGCTTGTTCAAAGCCAATCGAAAGTATCCTAACGTTAGTTTGTTTACAAGTAGCTAGCTAGCTAGTACTGATATAAACCTAGCCAGTGTCAAAGATGAGTCTTCTACCTCGCACTGCCGAGGAGTTCAGTTCTGCAGAGTACTGGGAACGCTTCTTCAAGAAGAGAGGAGAGAAGGCTTTTGAGTGGTATGGAGACTACAACAAACTCTGTGGCGTGCTGCACAAATACATCAAACCTCGGGATAAGGTGAGCAGGTACACTGACAACCTGACATTCATGTAGGGAAATGCCCTTAAAAATGTCAGACTCCACAGTCAATTTGTCTTCTGCTGAAATTGTCTCTACTGAAGAGCCATGTAAGTCTTGTATTATATGACGCAAGGATGAATTCCTATCCAAATGACTACTTTATCAGGGTTATTTATTGATATACCTGACTCTTCTTTTATATGTCCTTTAGCAGACGCTTTTATCCAACACGACTTACAGTCATGCGTGGCTTGTCTCGTCTCTCCCAGGTCTTGGTGGTGGGCTGTGGTAACTCTGAGCTGAGTGAGCAGCTGTATGACGTTGGCTACAGACATCTGACCAACATTGACATTAGTGAGACGGTGGTGAATCACATGAACCAGAAGAATGCCAAGCAGCGCCCAGACCTGACCTTCCAGACAGTGGATGCCACCCAGACGCCCTACGAGGACGGAAGCTACCAGGCTGCACTGGACAAGGGGACACTGGATGCCATGGCCTCCCAGGAGGAGGGGGCTCTAGCTGGGAGGATGCTGGCTGAGGTGTGCTGGTGTGGAGTAGCTAGACAGGGATTATAACATGGTTTAACAAAGCCAGCAGCCCTGCACATAGAGTAGCACTCCAGGAGGGTTGGCCACCTCTGGTATACATCTCATTGTCTGTTAGTAAAATGTGTCTTAAAGTTTATTCACCTGCAATAAACCCTTTATGCCATCTGTTTGTGTAGGTGGGCCGTGTGCTGGGTATAGGAGGCCGCTACGTCTGTGTGACCCTGGCCCAGGAGAGTGTCATCAAGCTGGCTGTGGAACACTTCGTCCAGGTAAAAGGCTTAGGTTTTTACATGCATTGATAGTGATAGATGGTTGTCTTACCTACTTTAATTCAATTCACTCAGGATAAGAGCGTTTTCTAAGTGATTTAAATGTTAATGTAGGTGGGCTGGGCTGTGAGGCTCCATTGTCTGGGTGACCCGGAGAGCCAGGAGGTCTCTTCCTTCGCCCTGCCTGTTTTCGTGTTGGTTTGCACCAAGTTCCGCCAGCCAATGCCCATGCCCATCCTAGAGATGTGCCAAGGGGAGGATGGGGCCCCTGTGAGGCTTCCCGTGGTGGCAGACCTGCTGTCTGTGGTGAGAGAGCGCCAGGCGTACGCCATGCTGAGACAGAGGCTCCGTACGGGTACAAACGCCACCTCTACCCCCTCGCTGACCCTCTGCCACGCCCCCACTGGGCGACCCCGTTACACCCTCACCGTACAGGACTGCCCCCCCGGTGCCAAGGTTCCCCGTGCCAACCACTTTGCCATCTTCATAGGTGAGGGACTTATCGTATGTCGGCACACCTGGGTGGAAAAACATGGGTATATTTGTCTTTCCTTTCTGCGCTTGGCTGCATACTAAACCTGGCTCTTCCTGTCTCAACCCCCACAGTGCCTCAGGGCAGAGAGTCTGATTGGCTGTACGGCTCGGCCGAGGGGCGGGGCCAACTAGCGGCAAGCGCTAACTTCAGACGTCTGGTTGTCGTGGCCATGCACAGGGAACAGGAGTATACGGACATGCAGGCTGTCCAATCAGAGCTCTCCCCCATGGTGATGGAACTCGCCCCCCCTGGGATGCCAGCCAATCACCAAGTAGGGAATTTGTGATTATTCTATTTTGGGTTGTAATAAATAATAAATCTTTCCTAATTTCTCTATCATCTCCCCCCCCTCATTCCTTCACCCATTTTCCCCATGTCTCCCTCTCTCCATCCCTGTCCCTCCCCCTGTAGGTTCCGTTCCTCTCGGTGGGAGGTGAGCTGGGTTGGAGGGAGGTGGTGAGTCGTGGTACCAGTGATCTGAGTGGTCAGTACTCCGTAGAGGACGTGAGAGGAGAGGATGGTCAGCTCTACCGTAGACTGGTGTTCCTGGGGAACGAAGGACTGGTCCAGTCAGAGAGCCGCCTCACTGACCCAGCAGCAGGTGAAAACACACACGCACAGTTTTTATTACTTGATGAGTTCAGTGGCTAACCGTCTCTTTAACTTTAGCAGCAGCCTCGTCTCAGAAGAAGAAGAGCAGAAGGAAAGCCAAGCCCTCTGCCCCTCCCCCTGTGACAACCCCCTCCCAGACACCAGGTGGCGCCCTGGAGGTGGACAAAGGCTTCCTCTGCTGTGCCCACCACAGGGTCATGGTGGCTGGCCTTGCCATGCTAGGCGTGGGCACCGACCACAACAAAGGTAGGTGTGTTTGCCAGCGTTGTCTGCAAGTCAGTCGCCCTGTGCCTATGCCCACATACCAGTCTGTGTTTGACACTTTTTCTCAAATCCACTATATTTGCCTACAGGAAGTTTGGTCACTTGACACGTCAGGTCTGATGAATCCGCAAAATGTATCCTGTTTCCAATAACTTCTCTGTAGACGTGTCAGTGCTCCTGGTGGGACTGGGTGGAGGAGGGCTGCCCCAGTTCCTACGGGACTTTGTACCTGGAGCCAAGGTAGAGGTAGTGGAGCTGGATCCAGCAGTGCTGGAGGTGGCTCAGGGATGGTTCGGCTTCACACCTGATGACAGGCTCACTGTCACACTGGGAGATGGACTGGAACGCATTAACAACATGGAGAGAGAAGGTGAGGGGGCTGGGGGAGAGGAGAGGAGAGAGGGAGATAAGGAAGAAATAGCAGATACACATTTAAGGTGGGAGGGGAAAATAAAAGGTGGTTTCTAGAGCAAATTTGCAACCACAAGCATGCACATGATTAACACTATTCTCTTACCTGTCCAGGTGGTCATCAGTATAATGTCATCATGTTTGACGTGGACAGTAAGGACCCCAGTTTGGGGATGAGCTGTCCTCCTCCTGCCTTTGTAGATACAGCTTTCCTGGAGAGAGTTGGCAAACTGCTGACACCTCAAGGTTCAGTAAAACTTTTTTATAACTATCTTTCAAGGAGCTAGCCTGCTTTATTTTCACAATCGAAAATGTTACATTTTTCAAAGCCTGTAGACCTAGGTATTATCGAGGTGTATCTTACCATATTACACCCTCCCTCCTCTGTCCGTCTCTGTCGCCCCTCCCAACCAGGTGTGTTCATGTTGAACCTGGTGTGTCGTGACTCTGCATTGAAGAAAAGTGTGTTGAGTCGTGTGCGGGGTGTGTTCCCGCATGTGCTCTCCCGGGGCATCGAGGGGGAGGTCAACGAGGTGCTGCTGTGCTCCAGGGGAACAGGGGAGACAGGGGTCCCACCCACCCTGCTGAAGGCAGGGAAGACCCTACAGGGATCACTGGGCATGAACAGCAGTGGAGCAGCAACCTGCAGCCCTCAGATAGACATCACTGAGCTACTAGAGGACCTGAAGGTGGCATGAGGAAGGAGGGAGGGAGAAGAAGGAGAGGGGGAGGAGGAGAAGAGGACTTTGTGAACAAGCATCATTTTCATTTTAATTCTCAAAATGCGTGATGAACTCGTATACTGTACTGTATGAAATAAAAACGTACAGATGTATTCTGAACAAAAATAAACGCAACAGTTTCAAAGATTTTACTGAGTTACAGTTCATATAAGGAAATCAGTCAATTTAAATAAAGTCATTAGGCCCTTAACTATGGATTTCACATGACTGGGAATACAGATATGCATCTGTTGGTCACAGATACCTTAAAAAAGAAAGAGTGTGGATCAGGAAACCAGTTAGTATATGGTGTGCCACCATTTGCCTCATGCAGCGCGACACATCTCCTTTGCATAGAGTTGATCAGGCTGTTGATTGTGGCCAATGGACTGTTGTCCCATTCCTCTTCAATGGCTGGGCGAAGTTGCTGTATATTGGCAGGAACTGGAACACGCTGTCCTACACGTCGATCCAGATCATCCTAAACATGCTCATTGGGTGACATGTTTGGTGAGCATGCAGGCTATGGAAGAACTGTGACATTATCAACTTCCAGGAATTGTGTACAGATCCTTGCGACATGGGGCCTTGCATTATCATGCTGAAACACGAGGTGGTGGCGGCGGATGAGTGGCATGACATTGGGCCTCAGGATCTCGTCACGGTATCTCTGTGCATTCAAATTGCCATCGATAAAATGCAATTGTGTTCGTTGTCTGTAGCTTATGCCTGCCTATACCATAAACCCACCGCCACCATGCGGCACTCTCTTCACAACGTTGACATCACCAAACCGCTCGCCCACATGACGCCATACACGCTGTCTGACATCTGCCCGGTACAGTTGAAGCCTGGATTCATCCATGAAGAGCACACTTCTCCTCCAGCATGCCCGTGGCCATCGAAGGTGAGCATTTGCCCACTGAAGTCGGTTACGATGCTGAACTGCAGTCAGGTCAAGACCCTGGTGAGGACGACGAGCACACAGATGAGCTTCCCTGAGATGGTTTCTGACAGTTTGTGCAGAAATTATTAGGTTTTGCAAACCCACAGTTTCATTAGCTGTCCAGATGGCTGGTCTCAGACGATCCTGCAGGTGAAGAAGGCAGTTGTGGATGTCCTGGGCTGGTGTGGTTACACGTGGTCTGCGGTTGTGAGGCCAGTTGGATGTACTGCCAAATTCTCTAAAACGAAGTTGGAGGTGGATTATGGTAGAGAAATTAACATTACATTCTCTGGTGGACATTCCTACAGTCAGCATGCCAATTGCATGCTCCCTCAAAACTTGAGACATCTGTGGCATTGTGTTGTGTGACCAAACTGCACATTTTAGAGTGGCCTTTTATTGTCCCCAGCACAAGGTGCACCTGTGTAATGATCATGCTCTTTAATCAGATTCTTAATATGCCACACCTGTCAGGTGGATGGATTATCTTGGCAAAGGAGAAATGCTCACTAACAGGGATGTAAACCAATTTGTGCACAACATTTGAGAGAATTTTTTTTTTGTGCGTATGGAAAATGTCTGGGATCTTTTATTTTAGCTCATGAAACATGGGACCAACACTTTAAATGTTGTGTTTATATTTTTGTACAGTGTACTTAGTGTCAACACAATCAATAAATAATGTTTTATTCTCAAACTTTTCTCTGGTGTTTATTGATGATGAACCCTGGAGTGATTTTCTCAGGCTTACAGTTGGTTTCAAGATATTTTAGAAATATTTAATCTAATATCTTTTGGATAGAGATCCCCCTACCCACAACTGATTTTATACTGCACTGCCTCTCACTCACACACACACTCTCTCACTGCCAAAGAATGCAGCCGTGTTATTTACAGTAGATGAATCGTGCAGCATGGCTCCAAACTACAGGGCCAAGACGGCAGTCATTGCGAGGAGGGTGTGATTTAAATAGCCCTGGGCTGGAGGCGGGGAATATTACCTGTCTGTCAAACAAAACAAATATTATAACTGGCCATCTCATCTGCTCATAGCTATGAATGGGCGTGCAGACTGTCTGGCAACTCCTGCACAGATTTGTACGCATGCGCAGACAGTGAAACCCGTTAGCTGTCAAATTGATCAAACTGTAATCGAGTTGTTTCACTGGCTTAACCGAGTCAAATCAGACCCAAAGTCCACCGGAGGAAATGTTACCTTCACGATTCTCTCTTTGACTTTTTGGGATCGCCTTTTCCAACAGGAAATAAATATAAAACACAGGGTGCAACTTGCGTTTGGGTCAGGCTTGCTCGCGCAGGGAGTCTGGACCACGGCGGTGCCAAGTCGGACTTGACAGTACCAGTGCTAACATTACCAGCAAGACAAGAGAGACAACGAATTTTTAGACCGACTACCAGGTATCTAGATAGCCGCTAGCTAAAAAAATGAAATAAGTGATACATATACAAACTTTCTATTTGTTTTAGTGGCATGCCGATTCAATAAACATCAACCAGGGCCAGCACTCACTTGAAGTTGTTGTTAGCCCTGCGTTAGCTACAGCAGTAGCTAGCTCACTGTTTGTTGTCAGCTCAGCTATCAAAATATCCCAAATAACATTAATTATTTTTGAATGCCTTCATGTATTACTGTGTAAATTTGATTGTGGTCAATTATATGTCATTCTTCCCAGGCTAACCGATCCAGAAAGTTCGGTCCGGATGGTGTTGTCTGTACAAATTCAGGTGGTTGACAGTCGGACGGGAACTGTCGCCATGGGCAACCGGGGGATGGAGGATCTGATCCCCTTGGTGAATAGGCTCCAGGATGCCTTCAGCACCATTGGCCAGAGCTGCAACCTAGACCTGCCGCAGATAGCTGTCGTAGGTGGCCAGAGCGCAGGCAAGAGCTCGGTCTTGGAGAACTTTGTGGGCAGGTATGGTAGTCAGACCTAGCTAGTGATCATCAACAATAACACATCAGCTAATGCACCAGAACCATTAAGGTGCAGGAAACCATTCATGATGTTATTCAATAATGGGTTATTCAGATGCTGGCTGTGTTGGGTTTTGAGTTTGGCAGAGATTCATGGTTCCCAACAGTTGACCTCTCCAAATGAATGCACACAGCAGACAGACAGCCTCTCCTATTCAGTGAGCGCTAGCATGGGTTGTTTACTAAACCCTCTGCCAAGGGTAGCTGTGTTTGTGAAGCAGCTGATCGTTCTGGATAGTTACAAATTAGTTAAGTTATGTGACAATAGGCATGATGTGTAACAAGTGTTTTCAGATCAGAGCAGATGAAGGAGAGTGGAGACAATGAGATGATCTCCTTTTCCCTCAGTATGGTTGGCATGCAGTGTGGGCTCCTCAGAGGAGGAAGGGAAGGACCATCCTATTCAGTGAATTTCATAAAAATTTAAATAGTGAAAGATTTAAAGTTATCCTTTTTAGATAAAACTATACTAAATATATTCACGTCACAAAATAACTGATTAAAACACACTGTTTTGCAATGAAGGTCTACAGTAGCCTCAACAGCAGTCTCTGGGGTAGCACCACCAGTGTATCTGCTAAACTGCTTGCTGTCAGAGCATGTGAGCAGAGTTTAGCAGTTGGAAATCCCGCTCATCGCTCATGGAGTGGCGCACGCTCCATGTCCTTTCCAACCACTCCGCTAAAAACCACTCCGCGCTCACAGGAAAAAAAACTGCCGCTACAAATTCGCTCCATTCATTAAAATCACAATTTAACCAACACCAACATATTTGTGACTACCTGGACCTACCATTTGGTTTTGAAGTATTGAAACCAAACCATATGGATTTGAATAAACATGAAAATGTGAATGTAAGAAGCACACATTCAAAATAAACACTCTAAATAGGTCAGGAGCCAGACAAGGAGCCTAAGAAGGAATGAAAATGAATTATTTAGGCTATATTATTTCAATTATTTCAAGGCTATAGCCTTCAAAGAAATACATTGTGAAGCATTTGCGAGTGCGACACTAGGCTGGTTGGGACAAAGCACTCACCATTTAAACAACATTTTGTTGTATTAAATCATTAATAGTCTATAGATTGCGCATATAGGCTGTGTTACAAACTGGCTTGTAGCCTGTAACAAAGAGGGAGACAACGCAGAGATAGAAATAACAAACATATTTATTAAATAAAGTAAACTATATCCAAGTGACAATGGTGTGTATAGTCAGTAGTGTAAGTGAGTGGATGTGTGCATAGATGGTGATAATGAGGGATGTTGAGAGGTGCCAAAACAAATGAACACAAAGAAGCCCCAAAATGCCACACCCAAAAACATCAGTGGGTCTGCATGGGGAGAGTCTCCTCGAGGTATGGGGGAAAGGTGTATTTATCCCCAGGACACACTCGAGCCAAGGTGTGTCCCATTTCGCTGACGACCCTCCCAGCTCCGCCCACCGTCATCCTATTAAGGAAAACAAGAGCAGAGAGAAAGAATTCGGCAGACGGAGTGGGAGGGTCGTCACGGCTGTGACTTACTTAGAATTAAATACAAATTAAACTAAAAATGACATTAGTGCCTTTTGAATTGAAACACCAGTTTGGCCAGTCTGTGGCTTCAGGGTCATGCGAATTCGGCAGACAGAGTGGGAGGGTCTGGGGACCACCGAGGACCCCGGAACACCACACCTACCAAAAAACAAATTGTAAATAATTCACAAATATATATACGTAAACACAAACAAAATACTGCCCTGGTTAACCCTACCCCACTGCCCCTGCCCCTGCCAACCTCATCCTCCCCAGATCTCAGCAACCTTTAAGAGGAAAGAAAAAAAAGAGGACGGCAGGGAACAGAAGAATTTACCCTTAGCCCTGAGAACAGGACATTCGTTTTTCCAATGACCTGAACCCTGACAGTAGTGACACTCTTGACTGAAGTCAGCTTTACCATGGGAGCCAGGCTCAACCCTGGATGAATTTATCCCCAGGACACACCCGAGCCCAGGTGTGTCCCATTTCGCTGACGACCCTCCCAGCTCCGCCCACTGACATCCTATTAAGGAAAACAAGCAGAGAGAAATAATTCGGCAGACAGAGTGGGAGGGTCGTCACGGCTGTGACTAACTTAGAATTAAATACAAATTAAACTAAAAATGACTTATTAGTGCCTTTTGAATTCAATTTTAGAATTAATTTTTAGAAACGCTAGTTTGGCCGGTCTGTGGCTTCAGGCTCATGCGATGGTGCCAGGAGAGCAGGCCAGCAGCGGAGGATATCCTCTCCACACTTGCAAAGCCACTGGGGATGCTAAACACCCTTTAGGCCACTCTTGCCAGGCTGGGCAGAGATGCAGAGTTGTTTTTAATTATAGATAGGTAGGTCTAAAGGTTTTTAGGCAAAATAACCCAATCAAAATGGAAAGCTCCTTGAACGTGGTAATATGCCAGGCCTATTGGGGCCAAAATCAATTATGGCCTATTGTATAGATATTAGAACAAAAATGAACTTTAAAATTTTTTATGTTTTTGTTTATAAATACTTGACACACTTAGTTATCTACCCACCTTTTAGCATTTGCACAAAGTAAGTACTCAATCATGTTTTTGGGATAAGTGTATTTTCAGATTCCACAATTATTTTTTGTTGTGGAGAGTACATCACCGCACTCCCTCTCTTGCTCTTGGTCCTCATCTTTGTAAGTCACCTTGATTTAGCATCTGTGTGTTTTATCAGTTTCTTTATGAAAATGTTTAGTGAACTCCATGACAGTAGCTAAAGCAAGGGGCTATAGCAGCACACAAGTAGACTACAAATGCATGCTGGGGCGGGCATGCCCTGAGCTCGTGAAGTGAGCGCTACTGGAGCGAAATTGGAGGGGGCGAGAAGGCCGACACTCCAGCCTTCTGGAATCTCGCTCCGCGCTCCAGTCAAATTGGGCACGCTCCGCTCCAGCTCCACTCCGCTCACATACTCTGTTTGCTGTACACTGTACTGCATGATTGTAGCGAGTTTACTAATGTGTTAGTTCTAGTAGTTATGCAAATACGGTGACAACGATGTAGGCTGTGTGTGGTGGTTATGGTATGAAAAGGTTTTTTAGCCTGGTCACAGACAGCTGATGTGTTGTGCACCGACGTTCACAAGCGAAGGGAAAAGGTGAGAGGAGGAGAGTGCGTAGATGCGAGAAATAATTATACAATGAACAAAGTGATGATGCTGTTTGTATGTGGCTGCTATGAAAGTGAACTGTGTATTCATTCTGCCGATTCTGTTGAAAAATTAATCTTAAACAGAAGCAAACAGAACGAAACGGGGATAAACCTGAATTTGTCCAATCGAAACTCTTGTTTGCAACTGTTTGAACTAATGATTACAACCTAGGTCAGCTAGATGCAGGCAAGAGTGTGCAAGGCAGTATTCAATGTGTCACTGTCTGTCACCTTGATTACTCCAATTTGTCTCTCGACCTGTGCACCTACGTTATAAACTTTCATTCGTAGGCTAGGTTGTAACAACCTCATGATGAGTATAGGGAAAATTTGAGTATCATGATGTTATATTGAACTGGGTGAATGGGAATATGAATGACAGTCATCCATTATGCTGTAATAGAAGGCTATGCTCATAAAAAATGTAAGTGTCCTCCCTAATCTTAAACAGCACCAACCGCCACTGTTGGCATGGGAGAGTGAAGTGGGTACTGGATGCTTGAAATGGTTGTGTGACAGTAGTGATGATGGCTGTGTGTGATAGCTGTGTGACAGTGACCAGCACTTGGTGGCTTATCTAGCAGGGGCCCTGCTGAGGACTGGGTCTGTGCTGAAGGGCTGGAGTCAGAGAGAGGTCAGGGAACAGAGCCTGCCTTGGAGCATGTGTGCAGTCAGTCAGAAAGTTTTCAGTCCGACAGTCAGTCAGTCAGTCAGTCATTGAGCTAACAGAGCTGAGCTGAAGAGGGCATTGTGTCCCTTCTCTCCTCTCTGTGTGCTGATGCTTGATGTCTCCTCCTTACTGACTGACAGCCATATAAGCAGGACCTCTTTCAGACAGGCATGATGCAGCCTCAACTTCATTTCCTATAAACTGACACTGGAGGAGTGTTGGAGAGCTGTTGACCTGGTGAGAACTCTCTCTGCTGCCGTACTGCACACAGACACACACCCACAGTAACAGGCTAACAGCACAACAACACTGCAGCTTCCCCTTGGCAGAATGTGTCCCCTTTATCAGTCTTTCCATCTCTGACTCACTGACTTCATCTCTAAGGGCTGAATCCAGCTGTATCTCCCACCCTGAGTGTCAGTCCTTCCTCTCTCCAGGCATGTTGTGTTGTCACAGCTGAATTATAAATGGTAGGATGCTGTAAAATAAATACAAAACGGGACAACAGGAAAAAGGTGGCACTCTGAAGTTGGAATGAAAGACTAGAAATACGTCACTGTTTTCCACCCATTATTGCTTTGTACTTGATACTGTAGCCTGAGTGGGGGCTTGTTTTGACATTGAGATGTAGAGCTATTGTATACTTAGCTCAGCAGGGCTAGACATGTTTCAGGTTCCAGTGTTGTGTTTCATATCATCTTTCTCTTGTCTTTTAAAAGTAAAACAAACCTCCACTAGCTGTGTCATAGTCATCACACATAATGAACATATCCCTGCCTGCATAGGAAAAACCTATACCGGTATGTAAGCCCTCCACAAATAAGTGTTGCAGCAGTAGTAAAGATGGCGAGGTTGAGAGAGCTGGTCTAGTATTTCAGACTCGGATAAAATGTGCTAGCTCGACTTGGCCAAGTGTGCATTGGCTCTGAGCCTCTGACTGCCCTGGCATTGTGCCTCTGAGAGTGGTGCTTCCTCTACAGAGCTAACACACAGACACACTGTGTATCTGTTGTTTGGCAGTGAGACAGATGCCTGAGGGGTCAGTCTTTTATCTCCTAACTCTTCTATTCCTCTATTCCCTTTTCTTCTCTCCTCTTACTGACTCTTCCGTTCATCCCCTCTTCCTTTCTCTTCCTCTCCTCTCAGGGACTTCCTCCCCCGGGGTTCTGGCATCGTCACCCGCAGACCCCTGGTCCTCCAGCTCATCTCTGCCAGCACAGGTAACACACACACACACACCCACACACACTCTTGACAAATAAGTCTATAACTGTAGGCTACATCGCATTAAACTGCTGTCACTGTGTGTAGATATGACTCCCCACCAGGGGGCAGAGTCTGTCTGTCTGCAGGGACAATTATGGAATGCTGCTAATTGTACACAACTATAGGAGACACAGTACTGCTCTGTTCCCCCCCAGATATGGGGAACAGCAATGATGTCATATATACAAACTAGACTAGATATCTGACGCCTGACGTATGTGTCCGAAGACCACTGGTATAATGTATTTCTATTTTTATTTGATGTCTGTGGGAAATGGGCATTGACCCCCTGCATCTCTCTCTCTCTCTCTCCCGCCCCCCTCCTCTCTCTCTGTAGAGTATGCAGAGTTCCTCCACTGTAAGGGGAAGATGTTTTCAGACTTTCAGGAGGTTCGCCAGGAGATCGAAGCAGAGACAGTGAGACTCACTGGAACCAATAAGGGTGTCTCTCCTGTCCCCATCAACCTACGAGTTTATTCCCCTCACGGTACACACACACACACACCATAGTGTACTACTCTTACACACTCCCCACATGGTAACACACCCTACATCTCAACCTGAACCGGATGCTTCAATGCATAAATATGTCTGTCTGTCCTCAGTGTTGAACCTAACCCTGGTGGATCTGCCTGGCATTACCAAAGTGCCTGTAGGAGACCAGCCTGCTGATATAGAGTACCAGGTCAGACACATCAGTACAATTTAACTGATATTATAAGACCATTTCTCCCACCCTTCTCTCCTTCCTTCATAAATAAAGTTGTATTGTATTTGTTCCCCAGGTGAGGGACATGATCATGCAGTTTATCTGTAAAGACAATTGTCTGGTCTTGGCTGTGACTCCAGCTAACATGGACCTTGCCAACTCTGACGCTCTCAAACTGGCCAAGGACGTCGACCCTCAGGGTGAGACCAGCAGGACAGAACGTCTCCCCCAGCACCTTTTCACATGGCCCAAATCATAGAAATAAGATTCTTTCTTCATTCTTATTCCTATGGTCCAGATAACCAGTACATTGGAAGTGAATTTAAAATGGGTACTATTTGACTTCATTGTTTTCAACCAGGCCAGCGGACCATAGGGGTGATCACTAAGTTGGATCTGATGGATGAGGGAACGGATGCCCGGCACATACTGGAGAACAGGTTACTGCCACTACGCAGAGGTACATGGGGTTTTATTACCATAACATCCCCATAACGTCCCAATAATGTCCCCATACTGTTCCCATAATATCCCCATGATGTTTCCATAACATCCCCATAATGTTCCCATAACATCACCAGTGACCAGGCTGAGGTAAGTGTTGAAATGGAGGCTTGATGTCCTCCTGCCATGCTGAGCTGAGCTCATGGGTTGAGTTACAGTATTACAATCAGTGCTAGCCTGCCCTGGGAGTGAGTGAGTAAGTGAGTGTGTGTGTGTGTGTGGAAGGGGGTCAGGGTCTAGGCTGGCTGGCTGGCTGGGTAAAGCTGTGCCAGGTGCAGGGTCATGCTTGATGCTTCAGAGGTAATACATTAGACATGGAGCCTACTGTTAGTGCTGCTGTTACAGTAGAGAGATTAGAGTTGAGCTGCCTGAAACCTCTGCTGGCCTGCTGAAATCAGATGGCCTTCTGAACCCTGTAGTGATGTGTAATGCATGGAGACACTGCTTACTCTCTACTCTCCTCTCCTCTCCAGGTTATATCGGGGTGGTGAATCGTAGTCAGAAGGACATTGATGGGAGGAAGGACATTAAGTCAGCTCTGGCTGCCGAGAGGAAGTTCTTCCTGTCTCACCCTGCATACAGACACATGGCTGACATCATGGGCACCCCCTACCTACAGAGAGTCCTGAACCAGGTACACACGAACACACACTGATACGTTTTGACCAGATAACTGTTCAAATCAGCTTTTTCTTTATTGTGTGTGTATGTAACTCTCTCTACAGCAACTGACCAACCACATCCGAGACTGTCTGCCAGTGTTCCGCGGTCGTCTCCAGAGCCAGCTCCTAGCGCTGGATAAAGAGGCTGAGGAGTACAAACACTACAGACCTGACGACCCTGCACGCAAGACCAAGGCCCTGCTACTGTTAGTACAGACCACACACACACACACACACACACACACACACACACACACACACAGCTAACATAATACACAACGCTCTCTTGATGTGTGTGCAGGCTGATGCAGAAGTTTGCAGCAGACTTTGAGAAGCGTATTGAGGGCTCAGGAGACCAGGTGGACACTATAGAACTGTCAGGAGGAGCCAAGATCAACCGCATCTTCCACGAACGCTTCCCCTTCGAACTGGTCAAGGTCAGCCTGGGGGTCTGTATGTGTGTGTCTCACCAGCTTTCGCTCAGTGTGTGTCACCTCTTACTTTGGGTGTGTGCGTGTTTGTATCTTCAGATGGAATTTGATGAGAGGGAGCTGCGGCGGGAGATCAGCTATGCCATCAAGAACATCCATGGCATCAGGTGTGTGTGTGTCAGAGAGGATACATGCTTAGTTGGGCTCATGGGTCTCTGTCTATCTATCTGGCCTGTCACCACTCCTATTTTGCTCTCTCTCTGTCTCTCTGTCTCTCTGTCTCTCTCTCTGTATCTAGGACTGGTTTGTTTACTCCAGACCAGGCGTTTGAGGCGATAGTGAAGAGACAGATAATGAAGCTGAAGGGTCCCGGCATTAAATGTGTGGACATGGTCATCCAGGAGCTGATCAACACTGTACGCCAATGCACCACCAAGGTAACCACCACTGCTGTGTGTGTGTTTGACAGTAACTCCATCATCATATCTCTTGTTATTTGCCAGGTCGCCGTTGTAAATGAGAACTTGTTCTCAACTGGCTTACCTGGTTAAATAAAGGTTAAATAAAAAAATAAAAAATATTTATTGTCTCTAGTTGGGTTCCTTTCCAAGACTGCGAGAGGAGACGGAGAGAATCGTGACCACACACATCCGGGACAGAGAGAGTCGAGCTAAAGACCAGGTCTCACACATACACACACACACACACAAACACACGCACACACACACACAAACACACATACACCAACCTTAAAATATAGTGACTGTGTGTGTGTGTTCTCTGTACAGGTCCTGCTGCTAATCGATGTACAGTCGGCCTACATCAACACTAACCATGAGGACTTCATTGGCTTCGCTAAGTGAGTTGTCCCTGGTTAGTTGTCCCTGGTTAGTTCTCCCAGGTTAGTTCTCACTGTCTATGTTTTCCGGTCATCATCATATGTGGGTTGGACATGATGATTAAATGGAGAAAAATTGTCAGATGGGAGAGTGACTGACTGTGTGTGTGTGTGTGTCCCAGTGCGCAGCAGAGGAGTGATCAGACCAATAAGAAGAGCATTGCAGGAAACCAGGTGAGTTTCACATAGCTCAGTTACTTTATCTCAGGTGATGAATGTCTTAGGTTTTATTCTCTGATGCTAATACGTGTGTTATGAGAAGTTAACAAATGTGCAACTGGACTGGAATAGCAGCTGATGTGGAGGTTTACTGTATGTAGGAGGAGCAGGTGAACCTGCCTGGGCACACAGTGTCTGCTCCATCCTAACATCCCTGTTCTCTCCTCTCTCCTGTTCCAGGGTGTGCAACCAGTCTCCAGTCTAATAGTATGAGTAGTCCAGTCTTTGTAAGGCTAAACCCTCACTGCTGACTCACGGCTGCCCCCTACTGGGACACTGTTTGTACCTCTCACTGGTTGTCTCCTGTTCACCAACCTCTTTAACCCACAGCTCCACTGCTCTCTTTTCCACCGTCTTTCCACAGACTGCACTCTGGCCCTACTCCCTCTTCCTGCTTCTCTCTCTCTCTCTCCCTGTGTGTGTGTGTGTGTGTGTGTGTGTGTGTGTGTGTGTGTGTGTGTGTGTGTGTGTGTGTGTGTGTGTGTTTGTAAGCAGCACAAAATGGCGCTGAGTTGTAAACTTGGCTCGGATCTCAGATCCAAGCGCAGCTGTCTGGTCACTCACTAAACACAAACACTAGGGACTAATGGAGGTGTGTGTGTGTGCATATGTGTGTCCCTGCCTCATCCCCCTTTCTCTCACTTCCTCCTCTCTTTCATCCTCTGCCCAAATCTGTCCGTTTTTAGCCATCAGCTCTTTTCTTCCTTCCTGTCCTCCTCACAGTTTCTCTCTCCCACAGTTCTACAACAGTTGTTTTTCTCTGGCACTATTTCTTGGTACTATTTTACCATACCGTACCTTCCATGTCTTTATCATTTCTAATGTTTATTCCCATCATGCTCTTTGTGTGTCGCTTTGTATTGGTCAGAGAAATGTGGTAAAGGACTTGGCAGAAATTACCACTAGTGATTTAATGACTGGGTGAGGGGGTATTTCACTTTTCTAACTGATCCTCTTTGTCTCAACAGCTGATATCTCTGTGCATGCATTACAGTGCCTCTCTCAATCTATGTGCATGTATATGGATCTCTGTCTATGCATGTAGCATGCAGTATATCTGCTCTCTCCCACACTGTGACCCATATGTAAGATACATCATCACACCATCTCACTCTTTTTCAAGCTAAGCTCCACAGCACCTGCCTCTCTATCTCTAAACCCCTCAGCTCAGAGCCAGTCTCCCGAGCAGAGCTCTACAGTGATAGTTCACCCAGACTACATATTGACTCTTCTATTTACAGCATTCTAACATGAATCATCTACCTGGACAATTCTAATGCTAGGCTGTAGCTAAGTAGACATACAGTACAAACCCAGATCTTAGCTAACTGACATAAGGGCTTCATAGCCTACTATCTTTTGTATCCATGAGATGAGGTAACTTTGTAATCTGAGTGAACTATCCCTTTAATCCCTCCCACCTTAACCTCCTCTCAGTCCCTCCCCTGACATCACCCCTGACCTCAGATCTCTCCATAGGTAATCCGTAAGGGCTGGCTGACCATCAACAACATCAGTATCATCAAGGGCGGTGCCAAGGAGTACTGGTTCATCCTGACCGCTGAGAGCCTGTCCTGGTTCAAGGATGACGAGGTGAGCACAGAGTCACTGATCTGGTCTGATGATGAGACTACTGCAGCTTTACTATTGAGGCTTACTAGTAGAGTAGTGATGGGGGAAAAGATCGATACAGTTACATATCGGGATATAATTTTTGACGATATATCGTATTGTTTTGACAATATCGCAATATTATTTTTGCGCTAGTTGGCTGTACTTGCACCAAGAAACTCCAGTATTTTTCCTTCATAGGTTGTTTTTCATCTTCTTTTTAAATAGGGAGACCGTTTTCTTTCCTGCACTAATTTCTATGACTGATCAAAACTAGTTTTTTCATGGCTCTCTCTTGTCCCTCTGCAGCAGACATACAGTGCCTTCAGAAAGTATTCACACCCCTTGACTTTTTCCACATGTTATTGTGTTACAGCCTGACTTTAAAATTGATTAAATTGAGACTTTGTGTCACTGATATACACACAATTCCCCATAATGTCAAAGTGGAATTATGTTTTTAGAAATGTGTACACATTATTTTAAAATGAAAAGCTGAAATGTCAATAAGTATTCAACCCTTTTGTTATTGCAAGCCTAAATAAGTTCAGGAGTAAGAATTTGCTTAACAAGTCAGATAATAAGTTGCATGGACTCACTCTGTGTGCAATACTAGTGTTTAACATGATTTACCTAATCTCTGTACCCCACACACACAATTATCTGTAAGGTCCCTCAGTCGAGCAGTGAATTTCAAACACAGATTCAACCACAAAGACCAGGGAGGTTTTCCAATGTCTCGCAAAGAAGGGCACCTATTGGTAGATGGGTAAAAAAAAAAAGCAGACGTTGAATATCCCTTTGAGCAGGGTGAAGTTATTAATTACACTTTGGATGGTGTATCAGTACACCCAGTCACTACAAAGATACAAGCGTCCTTCCTAACTCAGTTGCCGGAGAGGAACGAAACCGCAAAGGGATTTCACCATGAGGCCAATGGTGACTTTAAAACAGTTGGAGTTTAATGGCTATGATAGGAAAAACTGTGGATGGATCAACGACATTGTAGTTATTCCACAATACTAACCTAAATGACAGAGTGAAAAGAAGGAAGCCTGTACAGAATAAAAATATTCCAAAACATGCATCCTGTTTGCAATTAGGCACTAAAGTAAAACTGCAAAAAATGTGGCAAAGAAATTAACTATATGTCCTGAATACAAAGTGTTATGTTGGGGGAAAATCCAACACAACGCATCACTGAGTACTACTCTTCATGTTTTCAAGCATGGTGGTGGCTGCATCATGTTATGGGTATGCTTGTTATCAGATTACATTTTAAAAAAACGGAATAGAGCTAAGCACAGGCAAAATCCTAGAGGAAAACCAGTTTCAGCTTTCCACCAGACACTGGGAGACAAATTCACCTTTCAGAAGGACAATAACCTAAAGTACAGGGCCAAATATACACTGGAGTTGTTCACTAAGACAACATTGAATGTTCCTGAGTGGCCTTGTTACAGTTTTGACTTAAATCAGCTTGAAAATCTATGGCAAGACTTGAAAATGGCTGTCTAGCCATGATCAACAACCAACTTGACAGAGCTTGAATAATCTTTTTAATAATAATGTGCAAATATTGTACAATCCAGGTGTGAAAAGCTCATAGTGACCTACCCAGAAAGACTCACAGCTGTAATCGCTACATAAGGCGATTCTAACATGTATTGACTCAGGGGGTTGAATACTTATATAAATTAGATATTTCTGTATTTCATTTTCAAAAAATGTGCCCAAAATTCTAAAAACATGTTTTCACTTTGTCATTATGGGGTATTGTGTGTAGATGGGTGAGAAAAAAAACATATATTTAATCCATTTAGAATTCAGGCTGTAACACAACAATGTGGAATAAGTCAAGGGGTCGGAATAATTTCCGAAGGCACTGTATGGTGAGCAATATGTTTGGAACATCGAATCGCAATAAAATCACAGTATCGAATTGCAATACATATAGAATCGTAATACCATATCGGCACCTAAGTATTGTGATAATATCTTTATTGTGAGGTCCCTGGCAATTCCCAGCCCTATAGGAGAGGTTGGACAAAAGACACACCTGAGTACCTCAGACCAACACACACACCTTTATTACACCTTTTATTACACACACATTTCTGTTAGCTACAAAATAGCTCCAAATACTACTGTCTTCTGCAGTAGGGGAAGGGAGAGTGTAATACAGGGTATGTAGGAAAGACATGGGCAGCTAGGGTCAGAGTCATCACCATCATCATCAAGCAGGAAGTCTGGGGTGTACTGGCTGGGATTAGCTGTGGGAGTTGTCCGTCAAGCTGTAGTTGCGATGTGGTTGGTCAGCGGGGCTGCCATCTGTCTGCCTGTCTGTGCCTGCTGTACAGGATAGGAAGGTCTGCACAGCAAGTGTAGACAGGCAGACACACCACAACACTCTCTCAGCCTAGCTCAGCACTGCTCGCTCATGATGTCCGCAGACTGTGTGTTTGTCGGTGTGTGTGTGTGTCAGTGTGTTTTGGGATGGGCTGGCCTGTAACTTAGGTAACTCAAATGCACACATGTAAGTACAGAGCTGGTCCCAATACTACTTCAACTAAGCCCCCATATTCCCCACCATACATCCCTTCCGCTCTATTCCTCCCTCTCTCCGTCCACTCTTCCCCCTGCTCCCCCTATTCCTCCTCTGGGAGTTGAGGCATTTGGAGCAGTTCACTCTGACACAGCTGGAGCTGCCCCAAGCCAAACCAACACACACACACACACCTCCTTAATCATTCATTTATTGTTACTCATTACGTTCCTCTCACAGGGGTCTAATAGCAACAATTATCTCACTAACGTAATCTGTTCTAACAGCAGTGTCTATGACAACACTACTGATAGGAGAACTACAAGTAGCCTGGCTGGTACAGGAGGTTCTATTGCCAGGTTAACAAAACCCCTCTGCTCTGCTCTGCCTTCTATTTCACAATATTACAGATTACAATATTAGACTTTACTACACATATTGTACTTCAGTGTAGTTATAGGTATGCTACGAAAGGGGTAATAATCTATGGTGAAATAGTAATCATAACTATTTCTTATCCAAAGGGAAACTGGGTTGACTACTGTTAGTTCAGTTGGAGCCCTGTGTTCTCTCCATGCGCCTATGTGTGTTTGTCTCAGTGAGGGGGATGTCTACTGTAATAAATGATCCTTACTATCACAGCTATATCACCATGCTGCCCCAACACCACTGTAGGCCTCAGACACACTCCTCGAGTCAGACCCAGGCCAAGCTTGTCTCTCGCAAAGTCTCCTCTATTTCCACCTCCACAAAGTTCTCTCCCTCCCTTTTCCCTCTCTCTTTTTCTTTCTTTCTCTGGCCCTCCTTCTCTGATTCCCTCCCTCTGTCCTTCTCTTTCCCTCTCCTTTTCCCGCTCTCTCCCTCCTATTCCCCCGCTTGCTGGGTCTCTCTCCTTTTCCCTTTCCTTCTCTCACTCTCTCCCTCAGTCTCTCTGGTTGGTAGTCTCTCTGGGCCTGTACACATTCCTGGCTGGAGAACTCAAGGTTTAGTCCAAACACCCGCTTAGCTTCCAACATCTAGCTAGAGAAATCCCACATGGCCACTTCTACATTTCAACCCTCCCCCTCCTTCTCTGTCCCCCCCCCCCCTTCCATGTCCCCCTTCTCCCCCTCAGACTCCCACTCACAACTTCATCTCCTCCTCCTCATCTCCCCTTTTCCACAAATACAGATCACCTAGCCAAACCACCAGGCTTCAGACACCCTTTCTCTTTCTTTCTCTCTCTCACTCTCTCTTGTGATCTCTTACTTTTTCTTCAGCTCATTCAATCATGTCTCACCACAGTATGGTCACCGTTAATTATTTCCCTTACATAAACACATACTGTACCCACTCACACACAAACACAAACTCCCTCCCGTATTTGCTGCTCACACTCTCTTATGTATAGATACCCTCCATACGTTTAATCTAAACAATGTATACACACTAATGTCCACACACTAAACAGTGTATAATCGCTATATAACACTGAACAGACATACATTCCTCCTTCCCTCTCTCCCTGCCTGAGGCCCCACGTGCAGCCTGAGGAAAAACAGACGACCTGCGCCCATACTCACCCTATACTCTATACACACACACCCATACACACACCCTATACACTATACACACGTTCCGTACAACACCCATACACTCACACTAGACTATACACACACATTCCCATACAGCACCCAAACATTCTAATCTACAGACTCACCCGCAGCCTTTTACCACAGCACAGTAGTGTGTCTGTGTGTCCAGCCTGTTTGCTATATCACACAGTGAGTCTGCAGAGAGAACCAGTTTCAGATAGAGCAGCTTTGATGTATGATCCACCATGAGCAGCCTGACACACACACACAATATACTATCATACCGACCACTTACAAATATAGCAGGCCTCTAGGCACAGAACAACAACATAGTAGCAGACAGCAAAAGGCAAATCAGCAAAGACCAATTCATCCATCTGAATGTGCGTGTGTGTGTGTGTGTGTGTGTGTGTATGCTCGTGTGTGTGTGTGTTTGAGAGAGAGTGGTGGAAGCCATTCCTTGCCCAGTCTAACCAATGTGCGGACTACTGTACACCAGTAAGACCCTGAACAGGTAGTCTGAACACTGGGACGACGGAACAGGACTCACTCTCTCCTCTCCTTCTTCTCTCTCCCTCTTCTCTCCTTCTATTTCTTTCTCTCTTTTCCTTTCTCTTTGCTTTTTCGTCTCTCCGAAGTGTTGAAGGAGTCGGAGGAGTAGGAAGATTCTTCATGTCTCCTCTCTCTCTGTTTTATCTTTCTTCTTCTCTCATTCCTTTCTTTTATCTTGTTTTTCACCAAAGTTTTAGTTGACAAACTGGCTAAAGGATTCTCAATGTCTCCTCCTTTCTCGTCCTGAGTGAAGGGTGAAGGGTCGCACGCATGTGCGCGCACACACACTGGCTGTCCTCTTCTATGGGTCTTGGTCCTGTTCTGGTCGCGGCCCGGCCCGGTCCGGTGTGTGTGTGTGCCGGGGATCTGAGTGGCTGCATCCGAGTGAACGAGTATCCAGCCTCGACGTGGCACATTCACTCTCAGCACTGGGGATCTGCCAGTGCACTTAGGGAAGGCATAACGAAGAAAGGGATGGAAGAAGGGAGGGACTGAGGCGCCATATATGGGTTGTTGGGACCCTTGGGAATCAACTTTGGAGTGGTCTGCAGTTTCTCTCCCCTTCTCGCTCTCTCTCTTGCGCTCTCTCTCTCAAGCGGTACCAGATGTCTGTCGTCTGTCGGAGCGCCAGCCTCTTTCTGTATTTTTTTTCTGCCTCTCTAACAGGAAGTGGGCCCCTCTGGAAAAAAAGAGAGTGGAATGAAGGAAGAGTCACAGGGTTCAGGAGAGACCAACACACACACACACACACACACACACACACACACACACACACACACACATACACACACACACTAGCGTGTGTGAGACAGACTTGCACCGTTCATTCTATATATATTTTTGGCTTCTTTACCTTTCCTGCTCATATAAAGTCCCCAATAGGCCATATGTTCATCCCTCTTTCTCCATCTTCCGCCTTCTCTCCATCTCTCCTACCATCCTTCCTCTCATCCTCTCTCCACTTCGTACTGTAGCGGTTTCCTGAGAATAGCCCCTCTGGAAGGGAGAGAGGGGGAGGAGAGGAGAAGAGTGAGGGGAGCAGGATGGAGAGAAAGGTGGAGAAGAGAGAGGGGAGAAGGGTGGAGGAGAAGAGAGGGGGATGGAGAAATGTTGTGTTTTAGAGCTTCACTTTGAGTAATGACTTTCACATGTAGGACGGCTTCTTTCCCTCCCTATCTTTTTCTCTCTATCCTCTTCCTCTCTCACTCACTTTTCTTTGCCTGTTTTACTCTCTCTTTTTTTATCTCACTCCCTCCATTATTTTCCACTATTCCCATATTTTCAGTCATTCTCTCTGTTTTGCTTCATTTCTCCAACTGTTTTCTTTTGTTCATAATTTCTAATGATGACAGAGTGTAGACTCATGCCTCCCCTCCCAAACACACACACACACACACACACAAACACATCCCTGTAATGGAGAGCAGTCCAGTCCCTTTATTTATCCTAGCTAGCTCTGTTTCTCTGCTGTTTCCACCATAGAGAAGAATGTTAACAAACCAATAAGACTCCTCCCTCCATGCTATGCTTAAGCAATAATGCCTGAGGGGGTGTGGTATATGGCCAATATACCACGGCTAAGGGCTGTTCTTAAGTACGACACAACGCAGAGTGCCTGGACACAGCACTTAGCCATGGTATATTGGCCATATATTACAAACCTCCGAGGTGCCTTATTGCTTTATAAACTGGTTACCAACGTAATTACAGCAGTAAAAATAAATGTTTTGTCATACCCGTGGTATACAGTCTGATATAGATATACCACGGCTGTCAGCCAATCAGCATTCAAGGCTCGAACCACCCAGTTTATAATAGAGCATATTTTCTCTGCATGCTGTTTCTGCTTTGACCAGAACAGTAGACCTATCCATGAATGAACCCTTCTTCTATCCTCCATCCCTCCATCACCATCCCTCTCTCTCCCTCCCTCCCTCCATCCATCCCTCCCTGTCTCTCTCCCTCCATCCCTGCCCAGGAGAAAGAGAAAAAGTACATGTTACCGTTGGACAACCTGAAGTTGAGAGACGTGGAGAAGAGTTTCATGTCCAGTAAACATGCCTACGCCATCTTCAACACCGAACAGAGGTGTGTGTGTGTTGTTATAGTGGTGTTATATGAGACAAGTGTATGACAGACATATCTGAAAGAGATGGAGGGTGAGGTTCAGGAGACAAGGAGACACCCTGACTTTGTGACTTCCTCACTGACTGAGAGAAGCAGTGGGTTACTGGGCTACGCTGGGTGGGACCTGGCAGGGCAGGGTGTGTTTGTGTGGACCATAGCATACCAAGGGCAGGCTCATTAAGCAGCTAATCAATGCCAGAGTTCTGGACCAGATATGAGGCTGTTCTTGTTAGGAAACTATTTCACAGATCGCAACAAGAAGAAGGGAAAGAAAATAGAAAGAGGGCTGGGTGAGAGTGGAGGGGAGAGAAAGAGGGCTGGGTGAGAGTGGAGTGGAGGGGAGAGGGAGAGGGCTGGGTGAGAGTGGAGGGGAGAGGGAGAGGGCTGGGTGCGAGTGGAGGGGAGAGGGAGAGGGCTGGGTGAGAGTGGAGGGGAGGGGGAGAGGGCTGGGTGAGAGTTGGAGGGGAGTGGGGAGGGCTGGGTGAGAGTGGAGTGGAGTGGAGATAGGGAGAAGGGCTGGGTGAGAGTGGAGGGAGAGGGAGAGTGCTGGGATGAGAGTGGAGGAGGGAGAGGGAGGGTATGTTTGTCGATCTGTTGATTCGATGTTTAGTGGGGGTCTTTTCGCTTTTCTTTGTTCTCGGTCCTCTTTTGCTCGCGCTTTCCTTTCTTTTTTTGTCTTTTTTCTCTTTCTTGCTTTTCGTTTGGGTCGCGTGCTGTGTGCTCAGTGCTTGTCATGTCTTTGCGTTTCCCTGGTCGTGCATTGTCGTTAGTGGGGTATGAGGGCTTGTGATCGGGCGGTTGAGGTCATGCTCGGTAGTGTCAGCGGCTTCGTTCGTGTGGTCTGGGAACTGTCTTTGGCTTCGTGTGGGTCTAGGGGAGGGAGATGGTGTGTCAGTGTGTCCTACTGCTCCCCCTTCTCTCTCTCTCTCTGTGTGTTTGTGTGTGCATGCTTTTGTGTCCACAGTGCTGATCCCAGTGCTCTGTATGTCCCTGTCTGACATTTATCAGAACCTCAGGAAAGTCCCTGATCTAAAGGCAGGGGGAGAGAGAGAGTGAAAGGGAAAAGGGAGAAACAGATCCATGCTAAAATTCCTCAAGAGGAGAGAAAAACTCCCTCCCTGGACACAGCGGAACTGAGCGAGAAAAAGGAGAGGAAAAGAGGGGATTTGGTAACTGGTTACAATCCAGCCATTGTAACGCATTGAGTGAGTGTGGGAGTGTGGGAGTGAGTGAGTAAGTGAGTGGGAGAGAGAGCCCCCTACTGGCCCTCCTAACACCTAACCCTAATCCTTCTGGCCATCTGACCAACACCATCTCCAGCAGCATCTGGTCTACCATCCAGGCATCGACCAGGCCCTGCCTAGACCAGGCCCTGCCTAGACCAGGCCCTGCCTAGACCAGGCCCTGCCTAGACCAGGCCCTGCCTAGACCAGGCCCTGCCTAGCGTACAGACACTTGAGATCTCATGAGATACTGTATGTGGTGAGACTGCTCCAAAACACTCAGACAGCCTTCGACTGGAGACAGACAGACAAATACACACACCACCAACACACACACCACCAACACACACACCACCAACACACACACCACCAACACACACACCACCAACACACACACCACCAACACACACACCACCAACACACACACCACCAACAACGGCAGCTTAGAAAACATGAGAGGGAGAAACAAAAGGAGAGGAACAACAGAGTGATTAAAGAGAATGTTTAACAGATGTGTGTTTGTGTGTGTGGGCGAGCGTGTGTGCGTGTGTGTTTAACAGATGGGTTTTAGACAGCTCCAGATTCCTGCCACTGTCAGACGCAGCGGCGTCTCCCTGACTGAGCGAGGGGTAGAGGGAGGGAGAGAGAGAGGGGAGGGGGAGAAGTAGAAAGGGGGAGATGAGAAAGAGAGAGAGGGGAGAAGTTTAGTGATTCATTGTGTGTGAAGAGGTGTGTTCCAGCCCTGATAACATGCCCTGTGTGAGACCTATGGTGTAGTCATGTGTATGCATATGGAATGCAACTTCAAACCTGGAGAGGAAGGTGACTGTTTGACTGTATCTGTTATAATTGTTGGAACGTATATAAGGACTATAGGTTCCTGGAGCTGGGTAATGTAGTTTGATGACGTAGCTGACTGTATGTAATGTTATTGTAGGAATGTGTATAAGGACTACAGGTTCCTGGAGCTGGTGTGTAGCTCTCAGGAGGAACTAGACAGCTGGAAGGCTTCTCTGCTGAGGGCCGGAGTCTATCCTGAGAAAGTCACTGTGAGTACCCTAGTCATAACCCCTGACCCCTAAACCTGACCCCTAACCTCTAACCCTAAACCATGACCTATAAAGTAACTGAATATTGTTACCCTGACCCCTAACCTCTAACTTCTCACCCTGACAATATCCTACACCTGCCCTAAATGTCCACTGCCTGGCTACCCTGCCCCTTCTCTCTCCTATCTCGTCCCCTCTACAACCCCTCCCCTCCCCTTCTGTCGTTGGCAGCTCACAGCTGCATTCCTGGGCTGTGATGTCAGTGTGTGTGTGTGTGCGCGTAGACTCACAGAGAGATGGCCTATCTGTTTCTAATCAGCACTGCTCCCCTTCTCTCTTCTCTATCCCCCTCCCCTTCTCTCTTCTCTATCCCCCTCCCCTTCTCTCTTCTCTATCCCCTCCCCTTCTCTCTTCTCTAACCCCTCCACTTCTCTCTTCTCTAACCCCTCCCCTTCTCTCTTCTCTAACCCCTCCCCTTCTCTCTTCTCTAACCCCTCCCCCTTCTCTCTTCTCTATCCCCCTCCCCTTCTCTCTTCTCTATCCCCCTCCCCTTCTCTCTTCTCTAACCCCTCCACTTCTCTCTTCTCTAACCCCCTCCCCTTCTCTCTTCTCTAAACCCCTCCCCTTCTCTCTTCTCTAACCCCTCCCCTTCTCTCTTCTCCTCACCCCTCCCCTTCTCTCTTCTCTAACCCTTCCCCTTCTCTCTTCTCTAACCCCCTCCCCTTCTCTCTTCTCTACCCCCTCCCCTTCTCTCTTCTCTATCCCCCTCCACTTCTCTCTTCTCTAACCCCTCCCCTTCTCTAAAGCCCTCCCCTTCTCTAACCCCTCCCCTTCTCTCTTCTCTAACCCCTCCCCTTCTCTCTTCTCCTAACCCCTCCCCTTCTCTCTTCTCTAACCCCCTCCCCCTTCTCTCTTCTCTAACCCCTCCCCTCCTCTAACCCCTCCCCTTCCCCTCCCTTCCGTCATCTCCCCTCTTTCTCTTCTTTCCAATCTATAGTATACTATATCTCTTCATCACCTTACCCCTCTCTTTCACACCTTCACCTCCACTCCTCTCTTTTCCCTTCTCCCCCTCCTTTATGTCCATCAATTCAATTCAAAAAAGCTAACAGCCACCTCTCTCTCCCACTCTTTTCCCTCCCTCTCTATCTCTCCATCCCTCTCCCCTTCCCTCCCTCCTCTCTCTCCATCACTCCCTTCTCTCTCTCTCTCCATCCCTCCCTCCTCTCTCTCTCTCTCTTACCAGGTGGATGGGGAGTGTAGTGGTTCTAGTGATAGTTTCTCTATGGACCCTCAGTTGGAGCGTCAGGTAGAGACCATACGGAACCTGGTGGACTCCTACATGAACATCGTTTACAAAGCCATCAGAGACCTCATGCCCAAGACTATCATGCACCTCATGATAAATAATGTAAGGCTGTATATCTGGCTGTCTGTCTGTCTGGGGATGTTCCAGACCATCTTTAACAAATGTTATCACATCTCATAACACCTGGACAGAACCACATTGTTATCATAGCAGTCTGATCTATAAGCATAGTACACTCTCAGGTTGTACAGCTGATGTACAACCTATATGACACGGTTGTGATACAGATATTTTGAGTTTTTCTGCACAAAAATGTTTAGACAACCATGGTTTTGTGTGGTGCCTCGGTCCCTCTCTCTCTCCTCCTTTCTCTCTCTCTCTCTTTCTCTCTCCTCCTCCCCAGGTGAAGGAGTATATTGGTAGTGATCTCCTGGTGCATCTCTACTCTCTAGCAGAGAAGTGTGTATTGATGGATGAGTCTCCAGAGCAGGAGCAGAGGAGAGAGGAGGTGCTGAGGACTCACTCTGCCCTGAAGGAGGCGCTGGCCATCATAGGAGACATCTCTACCTCCACCTCCTCTACTCCTCTACCTCCTCCTGTTGACTCCTCCTGGCTGCATGGAGCCCCTGAGACCAGCCGCAGGTAACACACACGCACGCGTGTACATATGAGTGCATGCACACACACACCATAACTCTAACCCCCATCCTCCCTCCACCAGAGGCCCCGCCCCCATGGCCCCACCAGTCCCCTCCCGCGCTGCACCCCATGGACCAATCAGCAACCACGCTGATACCACCCAGTCTCCACCCACCGGACTCATCAGACCCCCCCCTAATGTACCCAGGTAACCATGATGATGATGTTCAAAACTTTATTCATTAGCTATTTGTTGGAATTCTCTGCGCGTGCACAGAGCCAAACGTTGGGCTGCAGAGAAAGAGGGAGGTTATTTGAACTGGATGGGGGTCAGCTGGAAAATGTGTTTCTCATCTCTTTCCCATCAACCCCAGTATACAGACCCTCTCTCTCTCAACCTCAGTTCTTCTGGCATGGATTTGTTTTACTGCTCTCCATTTTTCCTCATGCAATATCTCTCTCCCCTCTGCTCCACTTCTCTCCCTCCACTCATTCCTCCCCTGCTTTTGGCCCGTCTCTTTTTCTTTCTGCCTCATTTCCTCTTCAACTGTTCTTTTGGGCCTCACACATCATCCCTTTCAAGCCCCTCCCTAACTCACTCCCTCCATAACTCTCCCTCTCCTTTTCTCTACCTCTATCCCAGGAAAATTACAAGCCCTTTTCTCCTATTTCACATCACAGGAACACTCTGCCAGTACACACACACCAAAAGATTCCTTTGTCTCCACAGGGATCTTTCCTGGTCAGCACTAGCAGGAATGCTCACTGATTTTTCAACAGGACTTTCCTCCTGAGTGCACACTATTTGCTTTATGAGATCTATTGTGTATTACTTTGTTTTAATAATTTTAAAAAAACATTGTATGAATTGTATAGTACTCTAATACTTTAAATACATCATACTACATGTGTATGATGTACTGTGGTGTGTCCTGTAGTAACCTGACGTAGCAAGGGCGTAGAAACGCCTGAAACTAGATCCCCTACATACTGGGCTTGACGAGAAGAAATGTTGGGAGGTTCTCTTCTGCACTGTTCAGCCAATCCAGTAAATGTGGAGGAGGAGTTAAGATGGAGTGTCGCCTTGTTAACGTCCAAAAGCAGCAGTCACGTCACAGGCTCTCTTTCCATTTCCCCTGAAAACCGGAACATTCGGTGGTTGGGGACTCTGCACAGGCTAGTCCAGTAGTAATGGTCTCTCTTCTCTGTCCCTTTCCAGGAGGCACCCCCCGGCTGTCCCCACAAAACCATCCCACTGACCCCTCCCCTCAACACAACACTGCCTCTGATAGCACAACTACATCATACAGTCTGTCAATCAGATGGATTATTTTACTATTTTTTTAATGCCTTTTTTAACTTCTTTGACAAATCCCAATTGCCCCCTATCCCCTACCTCCCAGACACTTGCATATATCTGAAATGATTGGATAGGTGTAATCAATGTGGTGATCATTTCTACTAGTCTATTGAAGGGCAAGGTGAAGCCATCACCATATTGATCATTTCTACCCATTCCATTTGGGAGTTGAAGGGCCATTCTAAACACAAATATCCATCTACCATTTTGCTGGAGACTCTTACCCAGAGCTTGTCCCCTCACCTCTCTCTCTCCCTCCCTCCCTCCCTCCCTCCCCCCACCCCTCTCTCTCTCTCTCTCCCTCCCCCCACCCTCTCTCTCTCTCTCCCCCCACCCTCTCTCTCTCTCTCTATCCTCCCTCCCCCCACCTCTCTCTCCCTCTCTCTCTCTCCCTCCCTCCCTCTACCTCTCTCTCTCTCCCCCCCCCACCCTCTCTCGTCTCTCTCGACTCTCTCCCTCCCTCCCCTCCACCTCTCTCTCTTCTCTCCCTCCCTCCCCTACCTCTCTCTCTCTCCCTCCCTAACCCTCCCCCACATCTCTCCTCTCCCTCGCCTCCCCCCACCCTCTCGTCCACCTCTCTCCCCTCCCTCCCCCCGAACCCCCTCTCCCCCCCCCTCTCCTCGCTCCCCCGATCCCTCCCAACCTACGCCTCCCCCGCCCCCTGGAGGGAATCCCTCCCCCCCCCACCTCTCTCCCCCCCTCCCCCCCCGCTCTCTCGTTCATTCGCCGGGTAAGTAGGAGGGGAAATAGGCCTCTCTCGCGCCCCCACCTGTCTCTCTTCCCACCGTTCTCTCGGTCCCCCTGCCCCCCGCCCTCTTCCTCCCCCCTCGCTGGGTACCACCAACCCGTCCCTCCCCAGCCCCAGTCTCTGCTCGCTCGGGGTCCGCCCTCGGGTCTCTCTCCATCCCCTGTCCCCCCCGCGCTAGCCTCTCCTCAGGTCCCCCTCCCCCCCCCGCCTCTCTCTCCCCCTCTGCCACCCCTAACCTGTCTCTCATCGAAAGAGTTTCCCCCTCCCCCCCCCTTACTCTCTCCCTCCCCTTCCCCCCCCTCTCCGTCTCCCATGCCCTCCGGCCCCTCCTCTCTCCCTCCCGTACGCCTCTGCCTCCCGCCCACCGGTCTCTCTCGTCAATCATCCCTCCCGGACCTCTTCTCTTCTCTCTCGCCGTCCCTGGTCCCCCCCGCTCAGTCGGCTCTACCTTCAGATCGCCTCCTCGTCCGTCTGACTCGCTCCCCTCGCACGTCGCCCGCCCCTCCTCTGTCTCCTTCGTCGGGATCCCTCCCTCCCCCCGGTCTGCTCTCGAGCCTGCGCCTCCCCCCCTGCTCTGCCCGTCCCTGGGCCGCGCCCTCCATCTTCCCCTTCCCCCTCTCTCTCCCCCTCCCCCGCGCCCTTCTCTCAGGTTTGAGCCTACAGTACCCCCTCTCACGGCCCTACGCAGGTACCTCTCTCGGGGGAGGGCAGTGGGGGGGGTCACCTTGAGCATCCTGCGATGAATGGTCCGTCGCCCCTCTCCTCCCGCCGCCCCTATGTTCTCTCGGTCGGCCCTCTACCTCTCCAGCCTAGTCCCCCTATCCCCTCCCGACGATTGGTGGTCGTCTCGTCTGCACGTAGCGCCCCCTCCCTCCCCTCTCCCTATCTCTCTCATGCTCCGCCCCCTCTGTCTCATCCGCCTCTTCCCCCCCCCTTCGATGTCTCAAGATCGTCCCCTCGGGGAGTTCCGCCCCCCTCTCTCGTCCCTCCGCCCCATCCTGCGTCCTGCTCCTCGAGTATCCACCGCTCCCCGCTCCCCCCACCCGATCTCTCTCCCTCCCGGGCGTCCCCCCCCTCTCTCTCCCGTCGCCTCACCCCCGGCCGGCCATCTCTCTCCGCTTGACCCGGTCTGCCCCCACCCCAAGTCTCTCTCCCTCACGCTCCCTCCCGTAGCCCCCCCCCAGTCTTCTCTCGTCGTCTCCTCCCCCTCATCAGCTGCTCGTCCACGGATCCCTCCCGTTGGCCCCCCCGCCTCTCTCTCTATCTCCCGTCTCTCCCTCCGCATCCTGGGACCCCCCACTCCTCTCGGGAGCTCTCGACCTCCTGGAGGATGGTCACCTTTCCTCACCCCCGCTCCTGCTCATCTCTCTCTCTCGTCTCCTATGGTATTTTCGTCCCCTGACTCCAGGCGGAATCCCGCCCCCTCTCTCTCAGGGCTCCAATCCCCCCACCATCCGATGAAAGACCGTAAAGGTGCGAACTCTCAGACCGCTCCCTCTTCAGTGCCCATTCCCGCCCCGCCTCTCTCGTCTCCCGCTCTCTCCCGTCCCCTCCCCCTCTCTCTCCCCGCCCCCTCGTCTCTGCTCCCTGCCGGCGTCCCTCCACCCCACCGTGCTCGCTGCGGTCGTCCCGTCCCCCCCACCTCCTCTCTCTCCCGTCCCTCCGCCCCTCCCTTTCTTCTCTCCCCCCTCCGTGGGACTTTCTCTCGGGTCTCCCCCTCACCCCTCCCAGCGCCACCTTTCTCGTCCGCCCTCCGCTCCCCCCCTTGTGGCCTCTTCCGTCTCATGCTCGCCTCCCTGCACGCTTCCACCCCACCTCCTCTCTCTCATCGCGCAGGGTCTTAAGTCCCCTCCCGTCCCCCCCCCCCTCCCTCCTCCACCCTCTCCGTCTCCGGCGCCTCCCTGCTCCCGACCTCTCTCTCCTGTACATCGAGCCTCCTCCTTCCCCCTCTCTCATCTCACCCCTCCTTCCCCATGTCTCTCAGATCTTGGTTACCCGCCTCCGGGGTGGTCACCCGCGGTCCTGTTCCCGCCCTCCATAAAGTCTCTCTCTCCCCCATCCTTCCCCCTTGGGTGTCTCTCGATCTCCCCCTCCTTTTCTTCCGCCCCGGCCTCTGCTCCCTCCCGCTCGGGTCGCCCTGGCAGCCATCTCTCTCGCCGGGCGCCCCTCCTCTCTCCTCCCTCCCCCCCCTGCTCTCTAGCTTCGGTCCCTCCCGGCCCGCCCATCTCTCATCTCCCTCAACCCTCCCTCCCCCCTCCGTTCTCTCTCCGCTCGCCCCCCCCCGTCTCTCTCTCGCCTGCCCCCCCGACCCAGCCCGTCTCTCTCTGCCGCTCCCGTTCCCCGCCCCGCCTGGGGTTCGTCTCTCCTCACGCCCTCCTTCCCCCCTCCCACCCCCTCTTCTCTCTCGGCTATCCCCCTCCTTCCCCACCCCCCTCTCTCTTAGCTCTCCACTCCTCCTTCCCTTAGTCCTCTCCCCCCCCGTTCTCTCACTCTTTCTGGTCACCCTCCCAGATACCCCTGCTCGTCTCTCCCCCTCTCTCCCGTGCCCCCCCCCAGTGCTGCTCTTCTTCGTCCCTCCCCGCCACCTCTCTGCGTCTCCCCTCCCTCCGCCGGCGGCCCGCTGTCTTTGCTGCGTCCCTCCCTCCCCCCCCACTCTCCTCAAACACGTCCCTCGCCTCGGCAACACCCCCCTCTCTCTATCGTCGTCTCCCTCCGCAACCGGGAGATTTGGACGACGCGTCCAGCTGCCTCCCTACCGCTCTCGTCTACCTCTTCTCATCCGGCGGAGGTCGCCAAGAGTTCCGCCGCCCGTCTGCGCCCCCGTCTCTCCTCCCCCGCGCTCCCCCTCCCGCACCGTCTCTCTCGCTTCCCCCAAGCCTCTCTTCTAGTCCCCCTCCTCCCCAGGTCTCTGCTCCCTCCCCGCCCACCTCGTCGGCGAGTGGTATCGCCCCCTCTCCTCTGCAGCGGTCCCTCCGCCACTGCGCGGTCGTCCCTCTCCCCCTCCGCCCCTCCCGACCCTCTCTCCCGTTGCGTGTATAAATGCTATAGCTCCTCATATCCGCCCGCCCGTCCCGGATCTTCTCTCCACCACCGCCCCTCTCTCTCTCTCCCCCCCCCCTCCGGCTGCATCGTCTCCTCCCCCCCGTTTCTCTCATTCCCCCCGTCCCTCCCTGCTCCATGCTCTCTTCACCTCCCCCCCCCTCTTTCTCCCGGGCCCTCCAGCTACTCTCTCCCCCTCTCCCGCCCTCGTCCCCCCCCTCTCTCTCTCTGTCCTGGACTTGGCCCCCCCCCCTCGTCTGTGGTCTCTCTCCCCTCCCCCAACCACCCCCTTGTGACTGTTTTGTACATATGGTAATGTCTACAAATGTTGGAATGTGTGTGGGCTACCATGTGTGAGCTTTGTGTAAATATACAAAAACAATATACACCACTGTTTCTATGGTTTTAAATAAACAGGGTTTTAATTTTCTACAATGTTGTGGACCTTTTACTTGAAGATTTGTCTTATGGTTGAAGATTTGTCTTATGGATGTATTATTTGATAGATCCATAAATAATAACAGATTGGACAATTCGATAATTCCAATCAGCGCGCCAAAAGAGGGACAGAATCCCAGCCACGCTTTTATTAGTTAATAAACCCTACAGCAATTACATTTCGCCCTTTAATTTGCTTACGCAAGTGTTTAATACACGGTATTACATTGCCTTATGTCTAGGTTGAAGATAATTATTTAATAGTATTAATATTTATTTCGACCTAGTTTTATGTGCCTGGTGGTTGTGTTGAATTTGAATTTATGTACGATGTCGTTGGTGCGCGAATGTCGCATCATCAACCTGTATTGTGACGACATTCGTCTGAAAACCAGACAAAACCATTACTGCTGTTTCTCAGAGTAAAGTAGAGGTCTAGTAGGGGAGCGCTAAGGGGGTGAGAGGCACTATCCACGGCTGAACTCAGTTAGAGTCGAGGATCAAACAACTCCCCATGGAGGCGCAGGACCGACCACAGCCCGGGACCAAGCCCAGTACCAACCGCGTCAGGCCCGGGAAAGGCGATGTGAAGGTAGGCCTACGGCTGACCTCAAGTGGATTTAGAACGGTACTCCATGCACATTGTTTACCGTACTCGACTAATACACTAACAGTACATATTTTGGGTTGTGGCCCCAGACAAGCACACCTGATTCTACTTGTCAACTAATCATCAAGCCATTGACTAGGTCAGGGGTGTCAAACTCATTCCATGGAGGGCCTAGTGTCTGCAGGTTTTTGGTTTTTCCTTTCAATTAAGCCCTAGACAACCAGGTGTGGGGAGTTCCTTACTAATTAGTGACCTTAATTCACCAATCAAGGACAAGGGAGGAGTGAAAACCCGCAGCCACTAGGCCCTCCGTGGAATGAGTTTGACACATGTGGACTAGGTGAATCAGGTGTTTTTGTCCAGGGCTACAACAAATGTGTGCTGTTGGGGGTACTACTCAAGGCCCGGAGTTGGGAAACACTGCTCTAGTCTACAGGCAACAGGTCTCTCCTTTCCAGTCTTCAGTCCAACCACACACTAGCGGTTCTGGGGTTCTTGACAACAAGCTTGGACCCCCTTGTGGCCCCCCTAAATGCGGAGTCTGAAATAATTATCACATTTTTTTTACATCAGTTATTAGATCGTGGCAAAGCGCAACACTAAAGCAACCCAACACATTTTCTAGTGGGACTCCTTTAGGCGGAATACAACAGTATTTTACCACATGGATCTGCCAGTTTTTTTCTATTCAGAAGTTGAAAGAAATTCGGCGCGAATTATATCGTTCAAGCAAGAAGAAGGAAATAAAGAGAGGTGAGCAAAATGTTTAATATGTTGTATTTGTAACATAGGTAACTACTAAATGCATTACAGAAGTGTAACGTTAGATCAGCTAATGTTAAACTGGCCGTGTGTTACTTTCTTTGTGAATGATTAACGAATTAGCTTGAATCCTGGGCTATGTATTCGTTTGCATTGTTTTTGGTTTAGTTTTGTAGCTAATTCTAACAGTCAGGCATCGAAAATGTATGGCAATATGAAAGAGGATGTAATATTTGATCAAAAACGCATGGTGCTGAGTGCTTTTACTTAAACCACACTCAGTAAACGCATTGTAACGTTAAAAGGTTAGACATGAAAGCTAGCTACCTAGCAAGTCAATTATTTTCAGGAAATGAATTAATAAGCTTGGTCCCCATTGCTTTTGCTCTACAGTTCTCACCAAAATGAAGAGAAAAAAGGACTTAATGTCCTTCTTTCAAAGAAAAGACAAGGCAGAAAGTCAGAGCCAGAGGGTCATGGAGAGAGCAGAGAGCATGCAGAGAGAGAGCAGGAAGACTTGTCCATTGGAGAGACTGAGAGTGAAGGCATAGTAGAGCAGGAAGGTGAGACAGATGGAGAGGCTGAGGGGAACATAGAGGCTGAGAGTGAGACAGAGGTGCGTCCACAAGCAGTGGACCATCAGTAAATCTGTGGTTACTTGTAAAGCAGTGCAATAAGTCAGTTTATGTGGTGTATAGAAATGTGTCGGTTTATGATTTAAATGATCTCATTTAACATGCTGTTGGGCTTGTGATATAGATATCAGATGGATTTCAGAAGTTGTCTGATGGCATGTGTCTAAAATTACCCAAATAGATACTTTTAATTATAGTTTTTTTTCTTCGACAGATATCAGCAAATCCAGAGAGGACCCACCGGTGCAGCCAGTGATGAACATGGACCCAAGAACTCTGATGGGGGACAGGAGGAGGAGCTTCAAGGCTGCCTGATACCACATCCACCCCTGGCTTGATTATTCAAAAAAATCAGACTGTGTTTTGTTACGCCTGCAGGCATTTTAGCCCTCCCAAAGTCTCAGAGACTGTATTTGATTCAATTGGGTTTTAACAACTGTAAGAAGGCAACTTACAAAGAGGGGGGATTTGCAATTCATGTAAGGTCTGAGTGGCACAAACAAGCAATGATTACATGGAGAGACTATCAGAAAGATATAACAAGTAATGCAACACTGGTAAATGCCCTAAACAAGCAACACAACAAACAGGTTCAAGAAAATCGGGACTATATTAAAACAATAGGAGAAGTACTACTACTTACAGCCACACAAAACATTGCACAGAGGACACGATGAGTCTGCTAATAAAGGAAACTTCATGGCAATCCTAGAAACAATAGCTAAGCATGACACAACTGTGAAAAAAAGGTTGACTTCCATAATGCAAAATACACAAGCAAAGGGATTCAGAATGAGGTTCTGAGTTGTTTGGCAGACATGGTTAGAACAAAAATTATAGAAGAATTTAAAGACAGTGAGGTCTTAAGCATAATGGCAGACGAAACAAAAGATGTAATAAAAAATAAAAAAAAGAGCAGATATCTCTAGTACTCAGGTACTATTTCAGTGGAGCTGTCCATGAGAGCTTTCTCCACTTTGAATCGGCTGATCGACTAGATGCAGCAGGGCTTACTGACAAAATCATACACGTATTCGAAAGTCATGGTCTTGAATACTAAAACAGCCCAGTAGGCCAAGCATATGACGGTGCTTCAGTTATTCAGGCGTCCAGGCACGCGTTAAAGAACAAGCAAAGCATGCCTTTTACATCCACTGCAGTGCACACTGTCTAAACTTAGTTTTAGTGGATACAGTCAAAGCTGTCCCTGTGGTAGGACAGGTTCTTCTCCTTACTAGAAAGACTATGTCTTCACAGCTGGGTCATATGTGCATAAAAAATGGCTTAGTGTACAAAGAGAGATGTACCCAGGTGCACCTAGAGAGCTTCAGAGACTAAGTGACACTCGCTGGGCATGTCGATATATGGCTCTACATACTATTAGGGATAGATTGCCTGCAATTAAGTGAGTCCTGCAAGACATAGTCCAAGAACACAATGGTAACATCTGTTGAGGCATGAGGTCTGCTTGCACAGATAGATTTACAATTCATTGTGTGCCTTGTTACACTCCATAAACGTTTTGGAGAAGCAACATTTCTATCAGATATGCTACAGTCTTCATCACTTGACCTGTCAAAGGCTGTTGATTTAGTTGAAGCCTTAGTTCAAACTTTGAATGACTACAGGGATGAGTCATTTTTTGACGACTTATGGGATGAAGTGTTGAACACAGCTGAGCAATGTTATACTGCAATACAGCCCCCTGCAAAACAACCAAAAAAGCTAAGGTCTCAATTTAATGGAGACTGTGTACTCAGTACAGTAGGTCAGATTCAGAAATAGATAAAGACAGTTTTCGTACAACCTTTTTCTACCCTGTCTTAGATCAGATGCTCAATGAGCTCAACAGACGATTCTCTAGCAAAAACTGTGACATAATGAATGGCGTCCAAACTCTAAACCCCAAAGGTGATGCATTTCTCAAAGAGAAGTCCCTGTTTCCATTTGCTAGAATGTATGAATCAAATATTGAGGACTTGGGGCATGAACTACATCAGTTCAGAATAATTTTACAAAAGAAAATACAATGGCGAATAAAAATGTAAGGTAAATAATAAATTGTTGAATGATTATAAACATGGTCTTTTGCCTATTAATACAGTTTAGAAAACAATGTCTAATGTAACTGGCCCCTCTAACAGTACAACTGGCTTCAGGCTGGCCCCCCCAGTTGAAATGGTCTAGAACTGCCACTGCAACCACAGTCAACAGTAACATAATCCACTGAATAAATTCATCACATCTGTATTAAGATATAAAAACGTGAGTATGCTGAGTTCATGAAACCTTTGAAAGTCTGCCCCCTTCTGAAGAATAATTGTCACTAACCTATATACATGTATACAAAAAAACCAACTTATAAAGCTGCATTTAAAAAAACCTGACAGTACTACAAAAAATGTTAATCATTACAGGTTGAATATTTCCTACTTAATTCAACATGGTTGCAATCTACCATGCCTCAGAGCCCTTGGTTACTAGACGTACAAGTTTAGACAATTTCTAAATTGTACAAAAAATAAATAAAAATGTCCTTTCCTAGTGCTGGAATCTGAGCAAAGTGTCTACAGTAGGCAGCAAATAGCCTTATTAGTTCCCAGATGAGACACCCTCCTTGTTCTGTTAAAATAGGAGCAACATACACTACTCAAAAAAATAAAGGGAACACTTAAACAACACAATGTAACTCCAAGTCAATCACACTTCTGTGAAATCAAACTGTCCACTTAGGAAGCAACACTGATTGACAATACATTTCACATGCTGTTGTGCAAATGGAATAGACAACAGGTGGAAATTATAGGCAATTAGCAAGACACCCCCAATAAAGGAGTGGTTTTGCAGTTGGTGACCACAGACTACTTCTCAGTTCCTATGCTTCCTGGCTGATGTTTTGGTCACTTTTGAATGCTGGCGGTGCTTTCACTCTAGTGGTAGCATGAGACGGAGTCTACAACCCACACAAGTGGCTCAGGTAGTGCAGCTCATCCAGGATGGCACATCAATGCGAGCTGTGGCAAGAAGGTTTGCTGTGTCTGTCAGCGTAGTGTCCAGAGCATGGAAGCGCTACCAGGAGACAGGCCAGTACATCAGGAGACGTGGAGGAGGCCGTAGGAGGGCAACAACCCAGCAGCAGGACTGCTACCTCCGCCTTTCTGCAAGGAGGAGCAGGAGGAGCACTGCCAGAGCCATGCAAAATGACCTCCAGCAGGCCACAAATGTGCATGTGTCTGCTCAAACGGTCAGAAACAGACTCCATGAGGGTGGTATGAGGGCCCGACGTCCACAGGTGGGGGTTGTGTTTACAGCCCAACACCGTACAGGACGTTTGGCATTTGCCAGAGAACTCCAAGATTGGCCAATTCGTCACTGGTGCCCTGTGCTCTTCACAGATGAAAGCAGGTTCACACTGAGCACATGTGACAGAGTCTGGAGACGCCATGGAGAACGTTCTGCTGCCTGCAACATCCTCCAGCATGACCGGTTTGGCGGTGGGTCAGTCATGGTGTGGTCTGGCATTTCTTTGGGGGGCCGCACAGCCCTCCATGTGCTCGCCAGAGGTAGCCTGACTGCCATTAGGTACCGAGATGAGATCCTCAGACCCCTTGTGAGACCATATGCTGGTGCGGTTGGCCCTGGGTTCCTCCTAATGCAAGACAATGCTAGACCTCATGTGGCTGGAGTGTGTCAGCAGTTCCTGCAAGAGGAAGGCATTGATGCTATGGACTGGCCCGCCCGTTCCCCAGACCTGAATCCAATTGAGCACATCTGGGACGTCATGTCTCGCTCCATCCACCAACGCCACGTTGCACCACAGACTGTCCAGGAGTTGGCGGATGCTTTAGTCCAGGTCTGGGAGGAGATCCCTCAGGAGACCATCCGCCACCTCATCAGGAGCATGCCCAGGCGTTGTAGGGAGGTCATACAGGCACGTGGAGGCCACACACACACTACTGAGCCTCATTTTGACTTGTTTTAAGGACATTACATCAAAGTTGGATCAGCCTGTAGTGTGGTTTTCCACTTTAATTTTGAGGATGACTCCAAATCCAGACCTCCATGGGTTGATAAATTTGATTTCCATTAATAATTTTTGTGTGATTTTGTTGTCAGCACATTCAACTATGTAAAGAAAAAAGTATTTAATAAGATTATTTCATTCATTCAGATCTAGGATGTGTTATTTTAGTGTTCCCTTTATTTTTTTGAGCAGTGTATTTCTCACTGAAGTGTTTTCAGGATGCCACTCATGCTACCAGTGTGGTACTTGAGGAGGAGGAGGACATTAGCTAACCCTCCTCAGTGGATTAGGGTGTGTGTGTGTGGCTTGCCCCCCCCCCCAGTCCTCTCCCCCTGGTCTTTCCCCATCAGTGTAAAAAGCATGTCAGGTCCTCTCGTATCTCTGCCTCATCCCAGGGTCCCTGTATGTTATCCTTGTCACTCTGCAGTCGGATCAACTGCAGAGTCAGTCTCCCAACGCTGCAGCCAGCTCCCCCTGGCCACACACCCAAACCCCCGGGGGGCGTGCTCCCTCAGCTGCTGCAGCAGGCAAGGCCACAGGGTGAAAACTAACAGGGTCCAGCAGAGCATGCTGAAGGTATGGAGGGAGAGGAGTCCAGGCCCCAAGAGGTGGGGAGGCGAGAGGCCAGGCAGACTGAGGTGAACAGGACAGCGTTGAAAGAGGCTCCCAGGGGGAGTGGGCTGGGTGTAGGGGAAGGCCACCAGGTGGGCCAGCAGCAGCAACGCTGTCATGGCGTACACCGTGTCTGTACTGACGGACTCTTAACGTCCTGAGGACAGGAGAGAACCCGAAGGTGAAGGAGAGGAAGATGGAGGCACTCTGCAGGTCAGACCAACGTGTACACTGGTGGCTGTCTGAATTCTCCCGCGGAGCCAGCGTTTGGTAGAGTCCGTAGCCCAGCAGGGCACAGAGCAGGCCGCTCCACAGCAGAGTGGAGGAGGAGAGCAGGCCCTGGAGGGAGAGAAGATAGGGGCTAGACTTTACACATGGCCTAATGTGGCAAAGGAGTCTAAAACTGAATTACAACCTATTCCCTATTATAGTGCACAACTTTTGACTACAACCCTAGCTATATGATTTACACTATTGTTCTGGTCACATTAGTGCACTATGTGGAGAGTAGGTTGTCATTAGAGCTTCACTGTAAGGTGTGTACCTGCTCCATGTACAACCAGCAAGTGAGGAACAGAGCCACACAGGAGATCTGTTGTGCCACCAGTCCTGCCTCCCGCACCACGGCCCAGTAGCGATATTGGCGGAGGCCCTCGTTCCTCCTGAGCTCCTCCATGAAGCGGCAGTCCACGTAGTTATCAGGGAATGGCTGGCACTCCTATAGCACCTTCCTCCAGGACACCGCTGGGCCTGGGGCCACCCCCATCAACTGGACAAACACACCAGTCATAACATTTACATTTTAGTAATTTAGCATAACCATAGGCAAATGATTAATCACATAGATCACAACTAGTATATTCCCTATACTGCCCCACACAGCGACCACACCCTTCTGTCACACACGTCATACCAGAAATGATAGAATGATGACAGATGTCTTTCATTAGTAGAAATAAACAAACTACAGAGACATGGGTAGTCAAATTGGTGCTATCGTTTCAGAGCACAACATTATCACATAAAAATGTATGACAAGCACTGCCAGGTTTGTCTTGAAAGCTGATAATGGTTGTTAGCCAGTTAGCTAGCTAAAACGGCTATCTGTGTCTTAGCTCTGGTATTCCTAAATACACTGCTCAAAAAAATAAAGGGAACACTAAAATAACACATCCTAGATCTGAATGAATGAAATAATCTTATTAAATACTTTTTTCTTTACATAGTTGAATGTGCTGACAACAAAATCACACAAAAATTATTAATGGAAATCAAATTTATCAACCCATGGAGGTCTGGATTTGGAGTCATCCTCAAAATTAAAGTGGAAAACCACACTACAGGCTGATCCAACTTTGATGTAATGTCCTTAAAACAAGTCAAAATGAGGCTCAGTAGTGTGTGTGGCCTCCACGTGCCTGTATGACCTCCCTACAACGCCTGGGCATGCTCCTGATGAGGTGGCGGATAGTCTCCTGAGGGATCTCCTCCCAGACCTGGACTAAAGCATCCGCCAACTCCTGGACAGTCTGTGGTGCAATGTGGCGTTGGTGGATGGAGTGAGACATGATGTCCCAGATGTGCTCAATTGGATTCAGGTCTGGGGAACGGGCGGGCCAGTCCATAGCATCAATGCCTTCCTCTTGCAGGAACTGCTGACACACTCCAGTCACATGAGGTCTAGCATTGTCTTGCATTAGGAGGAACCCAGGGCCAACCGCACCAGCATATAGTCTCACAAGGGGTCTGAGGATCTCATCTCGGTACCTAATGGCAGTCAGGCTACCTCTGGCGAGCACATGGAGGGCTGTGCGGCCCCCCAAAGAAATGCCACCCCACACCATGACTGACCCACCGCCAAACCGGTCATGCTGGAGGATGTTGCAGGCAACAGAACGTTCTCCACGGCGTCTCCAGACTCTGTCACGTCTGCCACGTGCTCAGTGTGAACCTGCTTTCATCTGTGAAGAGCACAGGGCGCCAGTGGCGAATTTGCCAATCTTGGTGTTCTCTGGCAAATGCCAAACGTCCTGCACAGTGTTGGGCTGTAAGCACAACCCCCACCTGTGGACGTCGGGCCCTCATACCACCCTCATGGAGTCTGTTTCTGACCGTTTGAGCAGACACATGCACATTTGTGGCCTGCTGGAGGTCATTTTGCAGGGCTCTGGCAGTGCTCCGCCTGCTCCTCCTTGCAGAAAGGCGGAGGTAGCAGTCCTGCTGCTGGGTTGTTGCCCTCCTACGGCCTCCTCCACGTCTCCTGATGTACTGGCCTGTCTCCTGGTAGCGCCTCCATGCTCTGGACACTACGCTGACAGACACAGCAAACCTTCTTGCCACAGCTCGCATTGATGTGCCATCCTGGATGAGCTGCACTACCTGAGCCACTTGTGTGGGTTGTAGACTCCGTCTCATGCTACCACTAGAGTGAAAGCACCGCCAGCATTCAAAAGTGACCAAAACATCCTGCCAGGAAGCATAGGAACTGAGAAGTGGTCTGTGGTCACGACCTGCAAAACCAGTCCTTTATTGGGGGCGTCTTGCTAATTGCCTATAATTTCCACCTGTTGTCTATTCCATTTGCACAACAGCATGTGAAATGTATTGTCAATCAGTGTTGCTTCCTAAGTGGACAGTTTGATTTCACAGAAGTGTGATTGACTTGGAGTTACATTGTGTTGTTTAAGTGTTCCCTTAATTTTTTTGAGCAGTGTAGCTGTCATTCAACAACAGAACTATCCTGTAAAGATACCACAGACCCTGTCCCTGTTACATTTCTGTTATAACTACACATTATTTCAGTAAAAAGTGATCTTCAGATTTTACCTGCGAGGGACTGGTGCCGCGTACAAAACAACTGGTATTAGGATATTAGGAACTAGGATATTTCCGACTTCAGTGCGTTCAAGACAACAGGGAAATCTTTCTAGAGCAGGGTTTCCCAAACTCAGTCCTAGGCCCCGGCCTCCTGGGTGCATGTTTAGTTTTTTCCCCTAGCACTACACAGCTGATTCAAATAACCAACTCATCATCAAGCTTTAATTATTTGAATCAGCTGTGTAGTGGTAGGGCAAAAACCAGAACGTGCACCCAGGGTGGCCCCAGGACCGAGTATGGGAAACCCTGTTCTACAGCTCCGGCTTTCCGACCTGAAGATCACGGACATCATGTTTTGACCTCATTTTTTTCCCCCGAGTTCCCAGTTGTCTTGAAAGCACATACCAAAGACAGTACAGTATGAAGATAATCAGAAACTGCTTCTCCAATAGAAATCCCGTATCACACTTGTAGGCAATGATGATAATATCAATAACATCCATATTGTTTTCATTATTAATCTCCATTATTCGCTACACCCTTTTGGGGCTTGTCTAATGTCTTACCTCGACGTCTGTGTTTCAAACGGGACACCTTTGAACCTTTTTTCAGCCATCGTTTTATTTACATACTGTACCATCTTTGACCATGAGCTGGATCACTCATTGAGCTATAACAAGAACGGTGTCGCTCCTAAAATCTCTTCATTCCACTACCCAGAAGGGAGGTCCTGAAAATGTTAAATATTAAACAAGCTTGAAAGGGTTTCATTAATTGGTTTCATATTTTGTTGATTCAGGCCAGCAACAAGAGACAATAAATAAAACAGAAAAGTTAAAAGACCCTAATAACCATCTAACTGGTTTCATAACTATTGATGTCTGTGTCCAGGTGTCTGTGGTGAACATGTGTGGTCACTCCTCCTCCTCCTCCATCCTGGGGAAGCTCTACCAGCAGACTGCCCTGCCTAGCAACAGGTAATAACACACAATAACCCCCCCCACACACACGTCCTAGAGACCCCTGTATCTGTCCGTAGTCAATACCCAGTCCAGAGGAGTAAACCCTGGCCCTACGCCCCCCACTTGATGGCCCTGGCTCCTGTACCAGTAACACCCAGACCTCTCCTCTGCAGCATCCGGACCAGCAGAGGGACAGAATCAACCACACCCACCACGGTAAGCATAGGGTGAGGGGATTAGGACTACAGTTCAACTAATGAATGAATGTTGGGATGATAGAGTTAGGGACTACAGACAGGCTTTAGTGTTGACAGTCCTATGATCAGGGGTTAAATTGGGCATTTTGGAGTTGAAGTTATCCTAAAACTAGCTTCATGTCCACATCCTGGTTCAACCCAAACCCTAAATACAACTAACCCTAGCTTTATGTTCAACCCAAACCTTGGTTTGTCATACTTTTCTCTTCGGACCCATAAAACTGCAGGAGCTTGGCACCGGCTCAATTTAACCACGGCTTATGAGTGACAATGTGTGTTGACCATCTCTGACCCTAGCTGCAGGCAGGAACCCCTCATAGCTCAGCCAGAGAGAGGCAGGACCGGAGCAGGGTGTGGCCGTGTGGACAGAGACTGAGGGGAAGGTAGGGACACACACAATGACACACGGATGTAAGGAAGATGCACTTTTAGCATGTATTTTGTTTTCCAGTTCCTCACGCAACCTTTTCCCTCTTGTACTCTGCTCACATCCCCAATCTCAGTTTGCGTCCTCTGTGTATAGTGGAGGTCTCCAGTCCGACGGTTGAACAGTGTCGAGGGATACAACCGCTCTGTCAGCCCCTCAGAACAAAAAAAAACCCCACCAGTCAGCTCCTGAAGGTTAGTATTGGCCCAAAACCAAAGAACACCAGGGTCAGAAAAGTAGGATTGTTTAATTTGCACACCAAAAAGCCTTTTCTATTTGTAAAAGCAGGAGTTGGTTAAAATGTTAACAGATCATGTATTGTTTTGCCGTGTGTGCTGTTCACTGTTCTACCATAAGATGGTGATGTGGCACTTCTCATCAACACTGCAGCACAGCAGGAGGCTGTAGAGAAGAAATAAACCTCTGATCCTAGATCTGTGCAACCTTTACCTGAAGCAATGTCACGAACAAATAGACTCCAAACCCGTCAAGTGAAAGACAACAAAACGTTTTATTTAGAAATTCACAGTTTCTAATGGCACTACATCTTTGTAGTTACTCTCGCTCCTGTTCCACAATACTGTGCAGCTCTTTCTCAGAGAAAGCAGCGTGGAAACAAAGCAGTTGACAGACAGGGTTTAGTGTAGAAAAACAAAAGGCATGAAGGTAGTAATAATAACAAAAGGGCACACTGAGCCCCGGGGGTCACCGAGGACCAATCTCTAGTCACTGAGTGTTTCGCACACACACAAACACTCTTGCGTGCATACACACTTACACTCACATATAATATCATACACATTCAAAAAGGGTAGAAAAACAAAGAAGAGGGTCATGATTCACTGGGTGTGGAATACTTGTCATCAGATAAAACAGTGTGTTCCAAACTCTTTCCCAACATTCCCTTTATTGAATTCATAAGTTCCTGTCAGACTCCTCTGAAAACCACTACCTTATTCGAGGTGGGGTGTATGTACAGTAATAAACACATTAATGAATGAATGACAGCTAGTAAGGATAGCAGAGGTGGCCAGTTAAAGGTGCTGTTCTTGGTAATGTATGCACTCACTAACTGTAAGTTGCTCTGGATAAGAGCGTCAGCTAAATGACTAAAATGTCAAATGTAATGGGAACAGAAGTGGTTAAATTAAAACAGATGCACTAAAAGAGCTCTCTTCACACTTTCTGAACCCTGACCTTTGTAGGGGTCAGAGGTCGGTGTGGAGTAGGGGACCTGGGTGGCTGGTCTGTAGAGGTAATGGAGGCATACTGTAGAGGGTGTGTGGTGTGTGGAATACAGTGGGCCCAGTCTCTCTTTCTCAGTCAGTCAACCAACCCAACACAGCTCAGAGGCTATCAGATCACACCCACAGACATACTACCCACAGGCATACTAGACACAGATATAGTACACAGAAATGTGATTTTTGACATCTGCAATTTATCATTATGCCGTGTCAATCACATCCTTGCACAGACATTTAGAGACACATACAGAGAAAATTTGACTTCAAACATTTCTTGTTTTAACTTCATCTTCCCAAAGGACTCATAACACTAACTCGTGAGGTGAAGCTGGTTGGTATTGAACAATATTCAGTCTCATACGACCCCAGCAGTTATTATTGGGACTGTTACAGTACAGCCCTCTGTACCCTGGTAGAGGTCTAATTAACACAAAGGAGGTGAACAACAACCAACATGTGTTAACTAACTAGTGTCGGGCAACCAGTGAAAATCACACAGTATGCGACAGTAAAATGCTACGTACAATACATTTACCTTTGTGTGTGTTTTAATTGCAATCATTATTATTCTCTGTAACATGTACCATGTATGTCTGTGTTTACCCCTGGGCTACAGTATGATAGGGTTGTTTTGAGGCCAGAACATAAATAACTAGATAAATACAACTGGCCTCACAGCGTGAGGACCTCAGGGGATCTGCTCTCAAGTGACATTACCCCGTGACACTGATCTAAATGTTAGTGTTGCATTGCACTGTTGATTTGAATGGTTAACATTAGGAATTGGGGAGGGAAAGCCGATCCTAGATAAGTGCCTAAAGGCAACTTCTACCCACAGTGGGTGTGTGTGCTCTAACACACTGACATCTTCAGACTAAACTGTTCCTAACAACTATAATAACACACAACATTCAGCTCTCAGCATGGCTCATGTACAGCTCAATATAAAAACAACCTATCTAACTCTGACTGGGTTCTGGCGGCAGAGTCTATCTGCCACAATGTGCAAAAACAAGCAGCTTATACAGTACAAGATCCCTTTCCTGTTGGCTGGCTCGCTGTGTGTGTGTATATATATATATATATATATATATATATATATATATATATATATATATATATATATATATATATATATATATATATATATATATATATATATATATATATATATATATATATATATATATACACACACACATACACACATACATACATATATACACATACATACACACACACACACTTGGAGGTCTGACTGGAGAATAGCTATGTAAACTAGTTGAAGAGTTATAGAGCCTGTTCCTTTGTATCAGAGACAGGAACGCTTGCATGCACACACGCACCAACGTCCACACACACATTAGATATGCATCTTCATTCAGCTCTGCTGGTTGTGTTGTGTTAGGTTAGACTGCCTGAGAAAGGGAGACAGAGGGCCTGTGTTGTGTGAAGGGTTAACACCCTGGTCCCATACGAACAACTGCAGTAGTGTTAGCTAGCGCTGAACAATACACAGAATGAAAATAATGTGGAAATGGAGGACAGGAGGAAAGAGGGAGAGTTTAAAGAAGTAGCTAATCCTGCTGCACAGTTCTCTCAATGCGACACATTTCATCCTTACAGCTTCATACTGTACTTTCACAGGCCCCAGGAGAGGCAGGGCTCAGATAAGAGCTCTACTCAGCCCCTCTCCTCTGGGCACAGGGCTGGAGTACAAGCCCCTGATGCCCAGGTCTGATGGAGCAATGTGCTTGTCCAGTAGAAACAGCTCAAAGAATGTCTCTGTTTTCTTATAACACTCCCCACCATTAGTCTCGCTCCGAAAATAAAAAGAACAATCCTTTGAGTGTTTTTTTTTTTATATCAGTGAAAGCTTTAGAGTGGACAGAAAGGCACATGACCGTGGAAAGGTCTCTGACTGGCTGATGCTGGGCGACTAATATCATGGTGTCTGAGTTCCACTGTGGGCCCGGGTGCTATATATATATATATATATAGAGTCAGTCTGAAGTGTGTGTGTGTGATCAGACGTGTCCTGTGACTGCCGTGGCTCCTATGGTCCCCACACTGATCTCCTTGTTTCCCTTGATCAGCTGCTGCAGGCTCTGCAGAGAGTTCACAGCAGCGCCTCCTGTCTGTCTGGAGGAGAACTGCAGATCTGCCTGACGAGACTGCCGGCGCTTCACTGACCTCTTAGAGGGGGGGAGGGAGGGAAGGTAGGACGGGAGGGGCAGGGCAGCATGGCCATTACATAGGCCTGGGGGGGAAGAGAGGGGATGGCCTCGGCTGATGAAGGACTCCTCAGAGTGGGTGGAGGAGCTACAGCTGCTGCTCTCTGAAGGGAAGGGGAGCTCCTTACAGGACATGTCTTCTAGAGGGGGAGGAGGAGGGGGATTCAGGGAGTGGGGGAGACCGTTGCATTGGAGTCCCCCGTTAGCCATCGGAGAAGAGGGGGCTGATAATGCTGCCGTCAATTTACATCGTTTCTTCTGGAGAGAGAGAGGGATGGAGAGATTGATAAATAAAGAGTACAGGGCGAACTTTAGAGATGTATAAATATGTTAAGTCATGTTAACCACATCTATACCAGACACACTGCACTTTTACAACCAAACTGGACAGACACCAAGCTCTCAAAGATAGAGAACAGGAGACATTTTGATTGTGTCTTAAGTATTTTGATTCAGTATGAGGTTACAGACAGGACTGGGAAGGGACAGTGGGGAGTATGGCATTACAATAATAATTTATTTTGTCGTCACATACACTGGATAGGTCCAGTGAAATGTGTTGTTTTACATTATAGTAGTATGGCGCCCCTGGAGCAAATTAGGGTTAAGTGCCTTGCTCAAGGGCACAGACCAAACCTTAGCATCTCTATATGAGTGGAGCAAAGCCATGTTATGGGTCGCAGCTTATTGTCATCTATTGGTGGGTTACAACTTTCAAACCACTGCCCAAGCCTGCTCTGTGTCTGCTCATACATCGCCCCCCTAACAGTGGGCTTCTAGCCTGTGTCAGCAGAGAAATGGTTAACTTAACCGAGTTCGTAAATCACCCCATAACTAGATCTAGGATCAGCTTAACACTCCCCAGACCCTACAGTATTCTTAACCATTAGGATGGAAGAACGCTAAACTGACCTTAGATCAGAGTCTGGGGGCAAGTTCACCCCACTCCACTGAAACCATAAGCAATCAAAGATGGCCGCAGGGGCCGCCATACAACAGCAGTAGCAGGCGGAGAGCAGGGGACACTGTACCTTTTTCTCTGGTGAGAACCTTAATGGTTCAACAATGTAAAGGTCGTCAGGGCCTACTGAACAGGGAGAGAACAGGGCCATGTTAATGATGAGATGGCAGGCACTCGGAACACACATGTTACAAGCATGACACCACCTTGCAAGTAGTACTACTGATTTACTATTCATGTAGTATTACACACACCTGATATACTATAGCCCAGAATAAAGGTTATCGCTCCACTGAAGAGGTTATTTATAGCTAGTAGGTACACTGGGTAAGGTAGGGTTCTCTAGTTGTTACTACTTGCAGTGGTGTAACATGAGCCAGCCAAAAGCATTGTGTTCTATTTATATTCCCCTTCAGTTCAGCCTCTATATGGACACACAGCTGGCAATGACAGGCACTCTGGCCCAAGGACACACACGATCAATAGAGAGAGAGAGAGAGAGAGAGGAAAGAGGAGCATTATGTTTCATGGCTGTCTGAATGAAGGTTTTTATTCCTTCATGGCGGGGTGTGCCCAGGCAGTCCCACTGGGGTGTCTGTGGCTCCAGTACCCTTACAGCAGACATACTGTTCAGCAGCTCAGCAGCATGGCACGGCCAGCAGCATGGCTCAGATGGGAGAGCAGCTAGTCATGCACAGCTGTAGCTCTGAGTAATGTGGTCTATAATGGAGCTGGCCTCTATACAGGGAGGCTTTTAGTCCTGCTTCAGCTCCTATGGGTTGTTATAGGGCAGCAACAGGATGGACAGAACAGCGATGTAGAAGACAGGAAGTGTAGAGGAAAAGGGGGAGTGTGTGTGTTTAACAGCGAGGCCACGTGAGCAGGCTTCTTCTTGTCCTTGTTAGAAAGCTGTAGAGTGACTTGGTGTGTGTGTGTGTGTGTACACATTCACCTTCTGAAGTAGGAAACGTGAAGGACTTGGAGCGTACGAGAGGACACGATACCCTCCGCTTCAGACTCAAATCATCATAGGAGGAGAAACACCTGACACATACAGGATATGATAGTACAGTAACGTTAGTAAGGGTCAAACTAAACAATGCCTGTATGGAAGAGATCCAATGTTCCCTATGAAACACAAGGGAACATTAACTGCACTAAGAGGAACATTATATCAGACCTACAAAAGCAACAACAATACTCTTATAGATAATGTGGGGAGATCAGACAAAGGTGTGTGTGTGTGTGTGTTTGTTTACCTCTTGGGGCTGGGGTAGTGATTGGCTGCGGTGTGTGTGTTGCTGTGTGTGTTGGAGCTCCGGCAGCACTGCAGGCAGAGCACCAGGCCCAGACAGAGACACAGGACTAGAGACACCACCAGGTAACCCTGTCGGTCAGACACCTAGAAAAAACAAACACAGAAACAATATTTAGACATCAGAGGAAACAAACTCATCACATCCGATCATGACATTTTTGCGAGTTATGATTAAAATAGGCCAACATTCAATCTGATATTCAATAAATGTAGGTAGTAAGAGCTGAAGGTCTCATTGTCTTCAGCTGTGTGTGTACCTCTCTCTGTAGCTGTGAGACAGTCATGGTGAGGTTGATCATCAACTTGGTGACGTTCTCCAGCTGACCCTGTAACATCTGGATAGACTCTGTCTGCCGCTGGTCCTGAGGGATCACACAACCAAAATATAACGTTAATACAACCAAGTTGAACCAACCCATCCCAGAACCATCAGACAACCTTCAGATACAACCTACACTAAACCATGACTCAACCATCACTGCCACAATAACCGTCCGGCAACACAATCAAGAAGCAACTGTCTGTAACAGACCTGTTCTTCAGCGATGCGGGAGGTGTTCTCCAGTTTGACGATGGTCTTGTTGAACGCTCTCTGCATCTCCTCCATCTGCTTACGATACCTAGAACACACCAAACACACAACAAGCCAATCAGAGCCTGAACAGGACGAGTGATAGAGGAAACTACTAGGTTAAAAAAGACAGACAGACACACAGCTTACCTCTGGCTGAGTTCCTCCAGGTATCTGCTGCTGAGGGACATGTTCATCTCCAGGGCTTTGATTCTGTTGTTCAACCTCATGAACACACTCTCCTTCTGACTGGAGCCGTGCACGTTCACTCCTCCGTTCATCCCTCCAACGTACTCCCCCGCGCTCTGAAGCTCAGCGTAGAAGTCTGTAGCCGCCCGGTGTAAATGTCCGTTAGCGGTCACCGGGACGCTAAGCAGTAGGTCCTCCACGGACTCTTCCCCACGTAGGTGTTCTGCTGGCTGGGCAGAAGAGTCGCCCTGCTCCCCCTGGCCCTGGATGTCTCCACTCACTGCCCCAGCCCTGGGTGTGTGTGGCTCTGTGTTTATGTCGGGCTGGGAGGACACAGGGAGCTCGGTGGGAGGGGGGATGTCTGCAGGTCTAGAAGCTGTGGGAAGGGGCTGGACTGGTTGCTCCTTCAGGGGGGGTGGAGGGAGGTCCAGGGAGGCTGTCTCAGAGCTTGGTAGGTGTAGGGGAGCGGTGGGGCTGAGAGTAGGGGTGGGGGTGCTGGCCTGCTGGGTCTCTGGGACGGGGGCTTCCTGCGGGGCTGGAGGGGGGACAGGGTCTTCTTGGCTAGGGGGCTGGGGAGCTTCGTCCTGGATAGGGGTGGGTTTGGAGAGGGAGGTGAGAGAGAGGCTGTGGGGGGGCAGGGTAGAGGTCTGGCTAGGCTCCAGCACAATGATGGGGTCCACGGGGTGTGTGTCTGTGTGAGGGGTGTGATTGTGTGAGTCTAAAGAGGGTAGTCCCTCGTTTTGGGCCTGGGGGGCAGTCTCAGGCTCAGGGACCGTCTCTGTGTGTGTTGGGGCTTCCTGGGTGTGTGTGGGGGTAGGGACAGGGACCTGTATGGGGGTGTGTGTATGTATGTCTTGCTGCCTCTCTCTGGAGAGGTGAGCATTACACCAGCGCTGTAGCAACTCTGGCAGTGTGGCCACACAGGAGATACAACAGAGAGAAGAAAGGGAAGAGGTGGAAGAGAGAGGACAGTACAGGTGGCTCTCCCTCTCCCTCATCCACTGTTCCTCTCTCTCCTCCTCCTCATTATCATCCCCCTCTTCCTCCATCAGAGTGACAGTGGACTGTGGGGGCTCCTCCTCCTCCTCCTCTACCAGAGTCACGATCTGTCCATCCTCCAGGGAGGGGGGAAGCAGGGGGGAGTCAGGGGAGGAGAGGGGGACCTCAGGGTCCTCCTGGGGAGCAGGGTAGTCTGGCTTCACCGTCTCCACGCTGAGAGAGAAGAGAGGGGAAGTTAGACTCTTACTGCAAGGTGAATGAGAGAGTGAGTGAGTGAGTGACTCACGCTGGCGGAGGAGTGGTGGGGGTAGGAGTTGGGGTGAGCGGTACATCTTTGTTCCCCTCGGTCTCGTTCTGGGCTTCTGATGATGCGTTGGCTAGAAGAGATACAGACACACAGCATGCTTTAGATAAAGTCACAACTACCACAGAATCACATAGAACATGTATCTCTATGTCAACTACTACATTTAACCCTTCACAGGATACCAAACTATCACTGGACATGGCATGGCTCAGATATCCAACCCCAGTCCAGCTATAGCTTGGTGCCAGTCTGCGTCACTCTACTGTATGTTGTTGCCACTGTCAGTGGGTTAAAATGGGGAACAGAAACAGCTTTGCTTTGGCCAACGTCTATGCTTGGTGTAACGACCACAAGAGTGGGCTAAACTAAAGCAGAAACAGTCAGGCTGGTCCAGTTAGAACTGGTCTCAAACCTCAGCAACCCTGTGGGCTGAAAAAGGATCACAAACACACCATAAGTTACCTCAGCTGCCTCACTGCAGCCCATAGTGAAGGGTGTGTGTGTGGGATTAAAATGGTATTTAGACTCCAGTATATTCTGAGGGCAAGATGGGGTCCAGAGGTAGTTGGTTCTGCGTCATGGACCCCTAGTCCTAATAGACAGAGCCCGCCTGCTGCTGCTGCTTGGTTATACAACACAGAGAACTATTGTCCCTCTGAAAGCCTCCTGCCAACAGTCAAATCAACATCTGGAGCCCCAGGCAGGCACACACACGGAAGTGGACACACTGCAAACCGGAGCTATATTCCCCTTGTATATGGCCTTGTTATTGTGTTACTATTTTTTCCTTTAGTTTATTTAGCTAATTGTTCTTACTTTTTTGGGGGGGGGTTCTCTCAACACAAGCAACCACACGTTATACGTTATATCAGAATTCATTGGCTTTGGACCAGCATTGCTGACTCACATTTGGCTGAACACACAAAGACCTGCTGAGCTCTGAGTAGAATATGAAACTAATTTGTTATATGTGGACGAATCAGTTGGATCTGTTTGATAGTTTCCATTGGCCGTGTGTGTGTGGTTATTAAACAAGGACAAAGCAGGGTTGAATAACAGGGCTTGTTCTCAAAAGACAGGAAAAGAGAGGGCGAAGGATAGATCTGTTCTAGATGGTTGAACTTCTCTTCTGTGAAGTAAATAGAAGGGGCAATAGCCTAGGTCTGAGACTCATACAACCCTGCTGCTATATGTAAGACCTTTATTGTGTATAGAATACCTCTAATGTACACACTGACACATTCCCTTGGGCAGCACAGTGCTTTAGTTAGCACTAGACAAATGTTCCACTACAAGTTTCATAAGCAAACCTCATGCCTCTCGCTCCAAGAGGCGGTTACCACAACAAGTTATTTACAGTATCTAACACATAGCATTTCCTTTAAAGGAATGTATAGGATGGGGAGAGTGAGAAGAGGGGAGTATAGGATGGGGAGAGTGAGAAGAGGGGAGTATAGGAGAGGAGAGAAGAGAGTGGAGGAGAGAGAGAAGGGGGAGAAAGAAGGAGAGGGGGGAGAGAGAGAAGGGGAGAAGAATCCATACCTTCTATCTGTGCTCCTCCCTCCTCAGGCTTGCCTCCCAGAACGTTGGCTGCTATGTTGTTGACCATGTTGAGAATGGCATCTGTAGGGACACACACACACAGAAGGAGAGAGAGAGTGAGAGAGAGCGAGAGAGAGAGAATCATGAATGTCGTCCTTCACTGGTAGTTTAGTAAAATAGGTGAAGGCCCCACAGGAATCTGTAAAACCACAGGCCTTGGCATTACCATCAGACTCTCCATTCCCTTACCCAACCACTTCTCTCCAGCCCCTGCCTGTCTCTGCCTGGCTACAGAGTACCCTGTCAGAGTCTGCTTGTTTTCTTTCACTGGGGAGATGTCTTAGCCAATCAGATTGCAGCCTCATTGCAGTGCAAGACACAGGAGCTCCAGTGTGTGTAGCGGAGTTATATACGTCAGTCGTCAACCCGCTGTGTGTGTGTGTAAATGTGTGTGTGAGAGTGGGAATACAGCAACTGAAGGAACATTCAGGACTTGAAAAAGGAAAGCAGCTTCAAGTCTCTCCATTCTCCAAGAAATACAGAGCCTGCTTTAGAGCCAATTCTGGAGATCAATTCTCTGATGTGATTAGATACAGTTGAGAACTGACGCTCAGCCAGTTAGATATCAAGTTACCCATGTTAATGCCTTCAGAGATTATAAATACCCCTTGACTTATTCCACATTTTGTTGTTACAGCCTGAATTAAAAATGGATTAAATAGATTGTTTCTCACCCATCTACACACAATAACCCATAATGACAAAGTGAAAATATGTTTTTAGAAATGTTAGCAAATGTATTGAAAATTAATACAGAAATACCTAATTTACATAAGTATTCACACCCCTGAGTCAATACTTTGTAGAAGCACCTTTGGCGGTGATTACAGCTGTGAGTCTTTCTGGGTAAGTCTACAAGAGCTTTCCACACCTGGATTGTGCAACATTTGCCCATTATTCTTTCAAAATTCTTCAAGCTCTGTCAAATTGGTTGTTGATCATTCCTAATCAACCATTTTCAGGTCTTGCCATAGATTTTCAAGTAGATTTAAGTCAAAACTGTAACTCGGCCACTCAGGAACATTTATTGTCTTCTTGGTAAGCAACTCCAGTGTAGATATGGCCTTGTGTTTTAGGTTATTGCCCTGCTGAAAGGTGAAGTAATCTCCCAGTGTCTGGTGGAAAGCAGACTGAGCTGCATTCCGTTCATTCATTTATCCTGAAGAACTCCCCAGTCCTTAACGATTACAAGCATACCCATAACATGATGCAGCCACCACTATGCTTGAAAATATGGAGAGTGGTACGCAGTAATGTGTTGTATTGGATTTGCCCCAAACATAACACTTTGTATTCAGGACAAAAAGTGAATTGCTTCACCACATTTTGCAGTATTACTTTAGACCCTTGTTGCAAACAGGATGCATGTTTTGGAATATTTTTTTATTCTGTTCAGGCTTCCTTTTCACTGTCAATTAGGTTAGTTTTGTGGAATAACTACAACGTTGTTGATCCATCCTCAGTTTCTCCTATCACAGCCAATAAAATATGTAACTGTTTTAAAGTCACCATTGGCCTCAGTGAAATCCCTGAGCGGTTTCCTTCCTCTCCAGCAACTGAGTTAGGAAGGACACCTGTATCTTTGTAGTGACTGGGTGTATTTATACAACATCCAAAGTGTAGTCCCGTGTAGCTCAGTTGGTAGAGCATGGCGTTTGCAACGCCAGGGTTGTGGGTTCGATTCCCACAGGTGGCCAGTATGAAAATGTATGCACTCACTAACTGTAAGTCACTCTGGATAAGAGTGTCTGCTAAATGACTCAAATGTAATTCATAACTTCACCAAAGGGATTATTCAATCTACCAATAGGTGCCCTTCTTTGCGAGGCATTGGAAAACCTCCCTGGTCTTTGTGTTTGAAATTCACTGCTTGACTGAGGGACTTTACAGATAATTGTATGTGTGGGGTACAGAGATGAGGTAGTCAATCAGAAATCATGTTAAACACTATAATTGCACATAGAGTCCATGCAACTTATTATGTGCGTTATTGAGCAAATTTTTACTCCTGTACTTATTTAGGCTTGAAGGGGGTTGAATACTTATTGACCCAAGACATTAATTTCAGCTTTTAATTTGTAATTAATTGGCAAATATCTCAAAAAAACATTAATTCCACTTTGACATTATGGGGCATTGTGTGTAGGCCAGTGAAACTATCTCAACCTAATCCCTTTTAAATTCAGGCTGTAACACAACAAAATGTGGAAAAGGTCAAGGGGTGTGAATACTTTCTGAAGGCACTGTAGACTCAAAACAATCTGATGTGTGTGTGTGTGTGTGTGTGTGTGTGTGTGTGTGTGTGCGTACTTGTGGCAGAGCCCAGCAGATTTTTAGACCCCTTGTCCTCAGAGTGAAGGTACCCAGGAGGGTAGTCTGTAGATGAAAAAACACAACAATGATTATTTAATCAGGTACGTTATTGAGAACACAATCTCTTTTATAACCGATTATCACACACAGTGTACCATCTCACCATAGTCCTCATCAAGGTATTCCAGCCTCTCTGAGGGGTACTGAGAATCTGCGATCTCTTCATATTCCTCCACCATACTGGTACCAAACACCCTGTAAACACACACACACAGTTATATAACACACACACACACACACACACACACACACACACACAGCTAACATCTGGTTACATTATTCATATACAGCTGAAAGGGAAGAATTATGCTTAAACTAACATGAACTTTGTCAGAAAACTGACAGGTGGGTTGACATGCTGCTGAGATTACACCGTTCCCTATAGTATTCTCTACACTATCTAACTCAAACAAACCCCAGCCCTGAGGAGATGTGGATTTGAGTGAGAGGTTCAACATCAGGGAAACGTCTATACTGTAACTGTACATTCATCTATACATCTCAACCCTTTAACCTTATCGACAGAGAATGTACACCTTAACATTTAGTTTATCTACAGAGAGTAGCAGCAGTTAAGTGGATGTGAACTTTGTTCCAGTTAAAAGGGGACATACATTTTTATTCTAATTTTCTCTACTTTTGCATATTTTTGATACTGAATGTTATCAGATCTTCAACCAAAACCTAATATTAGATAAAGGGAACCCGAGTGAACAAATAACAACAATTACACACTTATTTCATTTATTTCATAAACACCAAATTACCCTGTGTGAAAAAGTTATTGCCCCCTTACACTCAATAACTGGTTGTGCCACCTTTGGCTGCAATGACTCCAACCAAATGTTTCCTGTAGTTGTTGATCACTCTCTCACGTCGCTGTGGAGGAATTTTGGCCCACTCTTCCATGCAGAGCTGCTGTAACAGCGACATGTGGGTTTTTCAAGCATGAACTGCTCGTTTCAAGTCCTGCCACAACGTCTCAATTGGGATTAGGTCTGGACTTTGACTAGGCCATTCCAAAACTTCAAATATGTTGCTTTTTAGCCATTTTCATGTAGACTTGATTGTGTGTTTTGGATCATTGTCTTGCTGCATGACCCAGCTGCACTTCAGTTTTGGATGACATGGGGGAAGTGGGTGTTGCATAACTTTGTTAATTAAATAAATAATATAAGTATACTTTTTTTGTGGTTATTTGTAACCTCAGGTTCCCTTTATGTAATATTAGGTTTTGGTTGAAGATCTGATCATATTCAGTATCAAAAACATGCAAAAATAGAGAAAATCAGAGGGGGGGAAATACTTTTTCACGGCACTGCATCTGTAAAAAGTGAAATGACAGTCTACCACTCCTCCCTTCCCTCCCTATATATATACATATCTCTAACCTGATGAGGCTGAGGGGACAAAAGTGTTCTGATCCAAAGTGGGAGATGAGCTCCACCTGCAGAGAAGGGGAGACGAAGGGTTAAACCACAGCTAACACACTCACACCTGGTTAATTAAACCACTCAGCAACACTTACATTCTAGTCAACCAAAAACTTCTAAACTAAATCAAATAAAAGGTGATGTAGTAGAATTTGCCAAGCTCTGACGATGTACAGTACCAGTCAAAAGTTTGGACACACCTACTAATTCAAGGACTTCTTTATTTTAACTATTTTCTACATTGTAGAATAGGAGTGAAGACATCAAAACCATGAAATAACACATATGGAATCATGTAGTAACCAATAAAGTGTTAAAATCAAAATATATTTTATATTTGAGGTTCTTCAAAGTAGCCACCCTTTGCCTTAAAGACAGCTGTGCACACTATTGGCATTCTCTCAACCAGATTCATGAGGTAGTCACCTGGAATGCATTTCAATTAACAGGTGTGCCTTCTTAAAAGTTCATTTGTGGAATTTCTTTCCTTCTTAATGCGTTTGAGCCAATCAGTTGTGTTGTGACAAGGTATACAGAAGATAGCCCTATTTGGTAAAAGACCAAGTAAAAGACCAAGAGAAACGACAGTCCATCATTACTTTAAGACATGAAGGTCAGTCAATACGGAAAATGTGAAGAACTTTGAACGTTTCTTCAAGTGCAGTCGCAAAAACCATCAAACGCTATGATGAAACTGGCTCTCATGAGGACCGCCACAGGAAAGGAAGACCCAGAGTTACCTCTGCTGCAGAGGATAAGTTTATTAGAGTTACCTGCCTCAGAAATTGCAGGCCAAATAAGTGCTTCACAGAGTTCAAGTAACAGACATCTCAACATCAACTGTTCAGAGGAGACTGTGTGAATCAGGCCTTCATGGTCGAATTGCTGCAAAGAAACCACTACTAAAGGACACCAATGAGAAGAAGAGACTCGCTTGGGCCAAGAAACACGAGCAATGGACATTAGACTGGTGGAAATCTGTCCTTTGGTTTGGAGTCCAAATTGGAGATTTTTGGTTCCAACCGCTGTGTCTTTGTGAGGCGCAGTGTAGGTGAACGGATGATCTCCGCATGTGTAGTTCCCACCGTGAAGCATGGATGAGGTGGTATGATGGTGTGTCGCAGTGGTCTAAGGAACTGCATCGCAGTGCTAGCTGTGCCACTAGAGATCCTGGTTCGAATCCAGGCTCTGTCGTAGCCGGCCGCGACCGGGAGACCCATGGGGCGGCGCACAATTGGCCCAGCGTCGTCCAGGGTATGGGAGGGAATGGCCGGCAGGGATGTAGCTCAGTTGGTAGAGCATGGCATTTGCAACGCCAGGGTTGTGGGTTCGATTCCAGTATGAACATTTATTTTTATTTTTATGTATGCACTCACTAACTGTTTTTTATTTTTTTTATTTCACCTTTATTTAACCAGGTAAGCCAGTTGAGAACAGGTTCTCATTTACAACTGCGACCTGGCCAAGATAAAGCAAAGCAGTGCAATAAAAACAACACAGAGTTACATATGGGGTAAAAAACATAAAGTCAAAAATACAACAGAAAATATATATACAGTGTGTGCAAATGTAGCAAGTTATGGAGGTAAGGCAATAAATAGGCTATAGTGCAAAATAATTACAATAGTATTAACACTGGAATGCTAGATGTGCAAGAGATTATGTGCAAATAGAGATACTGGGGTGCAAAAGAGCAAAATAAATAACAATATAGGGATGAGGTAGTTGGGTGGGCTAATTTCAGATGGGCTGTGTACAGGTGCAGTGATCGGTAAGGTGCTCTGACAACTGATGCTTAAAGTTATTGAGGGAGATAAGAGTCTCCAGCTTCAGAGATTTTTGCAATTCGTTCCAGTCATTGGCAGCAGAGAACTGGAAGGAATGGCGGCCAAAGGAGGTGTTGGCTTTGGGAATGACCAGTGAGATATACCTGCTGGAGCGCATACTACGGGTGGGTGCTGCTATGGTGACCAATGAGCTAAGATAAGGCGGGGATTTGCCTAGCAGTGATTTATAGATGGCCTGGAGCCAGTGGGTTTGACGACGAACATGTAGTGAGGACCAGCCAACAAGAGCGTACAGGTCACAGTGGTGGGTAGTGAATGGGGCTTTGGAGACAAAATGGATGGCACTGTGATAGACTACATCCAATTTGCTGAGTAGAGTGTTGGAGGCTATTTTGTAAATGACATCGCCGAAGTCAAGGATCGGTAGGATAGTCAGTTTTACGAGGGCATGTTTGGCAGCATGAGTGAAGGAGGCTTTGTTGCGAAATAGGAAGCCGATTCTAGATTTAACTTTGGATTGGAGATTCTTTATGTGAGTCTGGAAGTTGAGTTTACAGTCTAACCAGACACCTAGGTATTTATAGTTGTCCACATACTCTAGGTCAGACCCGTCGAGAGTGGTGATTCTAGTCGGGTGGGCGGGTGCCAGCAGCGTTCGATTGAAAAGCATGCATTTAGTTTTACTAGTGTTTAAGAGCAGTTGGAGGCTACTGAAGGAGTGTTGTATGGCATTGAAGCTCGTTTGGAGGTTTGTTAACACAGTGTCCAATGAAGGGCCAGATGTATACAAAATGGTGTCGTCTGCGTAGAGGTGGATCTGAGAGTCACCAGCAGCAAGAGCGACATCATTGATATACACGGAGAAAAGTGTCGGCCCAAGAATTGAACCCTGTGGCACCCCCATAGAGACTGCCATAGGTCCAGACAACAGGCCCTCCGATTTGACACACTGAACTCTATCTGAGAAGTAGTTGGTGAACCAGGCGAGGCAGTCATTTGAGAAACCAAGGCTGTAAGTCGCTCTGGATAAGAGCGTCTGCTAAATGACTAAAATGTAATGTAAATGTCTGTGGGTGCTTTGCTGGTGACACCGTCTGTGATTTATTTAGAATTCAAGGCACACTTAACCAGCATGGCTATCACAGCATTCTGCAGCGATACGCCATCCCATCTGGTTTGGGCTTAGTGGGACAATCCATTTGTTTTTCAACAGGACAATGACCCAACACACCTCCAGGCTGTGTAAGGGCTATTTGACCAAGGAGGAGAGTGACGGAGTGCTGCATCAGATGACCTGGCCTCCACAATCCCCCGACCTCAACCCAATTGAGATAGTTTGGGATGAGTTGGACCGCAGAGTGAAGCAAGAGCAGCCAACAAGTGCTCAGCATATGTGGGCATTCCTTCAAGACTGTTGGAAAAGCATTCCAGGTGAAGCTGGTTGAGAGAATGCCAAGAGTGTGCAAAGCTGTCATCTAGGCAAAGGGTGGCTACTTTGAAGAATCACAAATATAAAATATATTTTGATTTGTTTAACACTTTATTGGTTACTACATGATTCCATATGTGTTATTTCTACAATGTAGAACATTGAACATTTCTATTTATGTGTGTTTTATTGTTTTGGTCATGCATTACAGTATCTGTGCACTGCCACCAAAGCTCCCCATACATTTTATAACGCATTATTGCATATTTACAACCTCTAAAAGAGAAGAATGCTAACCTTTATGTACTTGATGAACATCTGATGCAAGAGGAAGAGGAAGAGAGAGAGGAAAAAAGGAGATAAATCAGTAAAAAGGCTGATTCATGCCACAAGCAAGTCAAGCATCTGGTCCTTTTTCTTTGGAATTTTCTTTTCTTTTTTTCCTGACAACATAACACACAGTGTTCAGACTGAATGCTTGCTCTACAAGAGACTACAAGGCAAAAGCAATAAAGGACAGGGTAAGGTATACGAAGCAATACAAGGTACAAATAGCATTAAAAGGGAAATGTATTATAAAGTGCATTCATTTTTACATTTTATTGCTCTTATCCAGAGCGACTTACAGTTAGTGAGTGCATACATTTTTCATACTTAAAGTATTTTTTCCATTCGTAAAGTATTCAGACCCCTTGACTTTTTCCACATTTTGTTACGTTACAGCCTTATTCTAAAATTGATTAAATTGTTTTTTCACCCTCAATCTACACACAATACCCGATAATGACAAAGCAAAAACAGGTTTGTAGAAATTTTAGTGAATTGATAAAAAAAAATAAAAAGGAATAATAACATTTACATAAGTATTCAGACCCTTTACTCAGTACTTTGTTGAAACACCTTTGTCAGCGATTAAAGCCTCAAATCTTCTTGGGTGTGACGCTACAAGCTTGGCACACCTGTATTTGGGGAGTTCCTCCCATTCTTCTCTGTAGATCCTCTCAAGCTCTGTCAGGTTGGAGTGTTGCTCCACAGCTATTTTCAGGTCTCTCCAGAGATGTTCGATCGGGTTCAAGTCCGGGCTCTGGCTGGGCCACTCAAGGACATTCAGAAACTTGTCCCGAAGCCACTCCTGTGTCGTCTTGGCTGTGTGCTTAGGGTCGTTGTCCTGTTGGAAGGTGAACCTTCACCCCAGTCAGAGGTCCTGAGCACTCTGGAGCAGGTTTTCATCAAGGATCTCTGTACTTTGCACCGTTCATCTTTGCCTCGATCCTGACTAGTCTCCCAGTCCCTCACGCTGAAAAACATCCCCACAGCATGATGCTGCCACCACCGAGCTTCCCCATAGGGATGGTGCCAGGTTTCCTCCAGACGTGACGCTTGGCATTCAGGCCAAAGAGTTCAGTCTTGGTTTCATCGGACCAGAGAATCTTGTTTCTCATGGTCTGAGAGTCTTTAGGTGCCTTTTGGCAAACTCCAAGCGGGCTGTCATGTGCCTTTTACTGAAGAGTGGCTTCCGTCTGGCCTCCCATAAAGGCCTGAATGGTAGAGTAATGCAGAGATGGTTGTCCTTCTGGAAGGTTCTCTCATCTCCACAGAGGAACTCTAGAGCTCTGTCAGTGTGACCATCGGGTTCTTGGTCACCTTCCTGACCAAGGCCCTTCTCCCCAGATTGCTCAGTTTGGCCAGCTGGCCACCTCTAGGAAGAGTCTTGGTGGTTCCAAACTTCTTCCATTTAAGAATGATGGAGGCCACTGTGTTCTTTGGGACCTTCAATGCTGCAGACATTTTTTGGTACCATTCCCCAGATCTGTGCATCGACACAATCCTGTCTCGGAGCTCTACGGACAATTCCTTCGACCTCATGGCTTGGTTTTTGCTCTGACATGCACTGTCAACTGTGGGACCTTCTATAGACAGGTGTGTGCCTTTCCAAATCATGTCCAATCAATTTAATTTACCAGAGGTGGACTCCAATCAAGTTGCAGAAACATCAAGAATGATCAATGAAAACAGGATGCACCTGAGCTCAATTTTGAGTCTCATAGCAAAGGGTCTGAATACTTATGTAAATAAGGTATTTCTGTTTTTTATTTGTAATACATTTTTAATTTCAAAAAACCTGTTTTCGCTTTGTCATTATGGGTTATTGTGTGTAGTGTGATTATATAAAAAAAAAAATCAATTTTAGAATAAGGCTGTAACGTAACAAAATGTGGAAAAAGTCAAGGGGTCTGAATATATTCCGAATGCACTGTAAGTATTCATAGCAGTTACTTCAGAGGAGTAGGGACGAGGTAGACAGACAGAGACAGCAGAACAACAAGACATATCAGGTTGATAACAGCTTCAGTTCTTATTGAAGCTAAATAACCTTTGGACCTAGTCACACAGTAGTTTGTGAAATTACAATTCATCATTGTAATTTGGTAACAGTGGCATATTCATATTAACCCAACATCACAGAAAATGCTCCCACACAATATTGTTATTTTAAACTACACAAATAATTAAATAAATAAATGCAATAACACTTAAAGCGTTAGATAAGAGAAGATAGCGAGGAGGAGTAGAGTTGAAAGACTACAATATAGTAGGCCCATACTATTAGTACTGTATTTATTACACATAGAAGTAGGGAGGAAAGGTAGCTGAAATACATCCCAACACCCTCAGAATATTTCCTTCCACATTTTCACCCTCACAGTCACACACGCATATTGTGAGGTCTGAGTAGGGAGCCAGTCTCATGTTGATGACATAGGAAACCTACCGTGAAGTCATGAGGAATCCCCCTGGGCTTAGAACATAGAAGATACATGGTGTGTGTGTGTGTCTGCAGTCTGTGTGTGTCTGCAGTGTGTGTGTGTGTGTGTGTGTTTGCGGTGTGTGTGTTTATGGGTGTTTGCAGTGTGTGTGTAGGTGTGAATGTGTAAGTGTGTGTGTACCTTGATGTATTTGGCGTAGAGCTGTTCGTCCAATGGAAAGCTCTGGACGGTGCGCTCGTCACGGGCATGGAACGTTCCCAACTTCACCCATTTGTTGGTGGGATACCTGAGAGAGAGCGAGAGAAAGAGAGGGGTGGTCAGAGGGGCGTGTGTGTGTGTCCTGAAAGAAACGGGACAGGTGTGCGTGTACCTGTCGCTGATGGAGACCAGGAAGTCTTTAGGCGTGGATGAGAAGAGTTCAAAGTTAGCGATGTCCAACTGTTTCACCTGGATGGGCTCACAAAGCTCTATCACAAACCTAGAGAGAGAGAGAAAAGGAGAGAATGGGAGAGAGAGAGAGAAGAGAGAGAGGTGGGGAAGAGGAAGATAGAGGTAGATGAGGAATGATAATGTGAGAATTTTCAACTGCCTGCTCTCCCCTTGACCTCTGCGTTGGCAGTTGGAGTCACACGTGCTGAGGGGACAATGTGTGTGTCTGTGCGTGTATGTTTGTGGAGGAAACAGCAAAGCAGAGCACTGAGTCACCCGTTGTCACCCTGCAGCTTCACAGAGAGCAGCCAGGACCAGGGGAGAGACAGAAAGGGAGGGAGGGAGAGAGAGAGGAGGAAGGGCAAACTGTCCACAAAATTACACAATGAGAGATGAACAGATTGAAAATGAATCTGACATCTAATTATTTTACACAATGTTCCCTGAAGGAAAAGTGACAACGTCTCCTGCATCAACAAGCATACACATGCCCCTAGAATGTGTGTGTGTGTGTGTGTGCGCGTGACTCACCAGATCTTGTTGCTGCAGGGGTTCAGCATGTACAGGTCCATATTCTCCATGAGGATAGCTGACGTACTCTGGAAACGAGAGAAGAGAGGAAAGAGAGAGAACGAAATGGCAAATATGAGACACAAAATGAGTCAATGGACAGATTATTACTATTCTAAGAACATAAGACTTCATGTTTTGTGTGTGTGTTACCTTGGCCTCTGTGTTAGCTGACAATATTTTCGCTCCACACTCCACAGAAGCATAGTTGTTTTTAAAGTTCTTCTGCACCTTCTTCACAGGGGGGCTTCCACTTGAGGAAGTATGGAGGGACAGAGCTGGAGAAGAGAAAAAGAGACAGGGGGGTTAGGAGGTGTGTGGGTTGGTTCTTCTATCCTTGTGGGGACCTAAAATCCCCAAGTCTCCACAAGGATAGTAAAACAAGGAAAAGTATCCCTTGTGGGGACATTTCCCATGTCCCCATGAGAACAAAGGCTATTTTAAGTTTAGTGGTTAAGTTTAGGGTTACAATTAGGGTTAGGGTAAAAGCCAATTCAAGCTTGATCCGAAAATGTGGTCGCAGACTTTGTATGGAGGGTGAGACGCAATTGCGGAGCCTCTGGAGTACCGCATCGCTGTGCACCTCTCAAATGTTGTAGCTTTGTGGAGGGCTCCGTATAACTCCGCATTGACATGATTGGTTGACGGTAGGTGGGGGTGGTGCGTCTTGTATAAACACAAACTCACTTCCTTAACTTCCTTCACAATAGCTCTGCTCTGCTCCGCTAAGCGCAATAAGTATGAAAGCCCTGACGTCTGCGGAGGCTGCATCGCAGTAAATGCTGTACGGCTTCAGAAGTTGTATTGACCATGCAGAGACTTTAAGGAGTTAGGTTTAGGGTTTGGGTTACAGGTTAAGGTTAGGGAAAATAGGATTTCGACTGGAAATTAATTTTAGGTCCCCACGAGGATAGAAGAACAAAATGTTTGTGCGTGCTAAAGATGCAGACCGGGATTTTTAACACTTCCAAATTCCTGACGTTGTATGAATAAAAAAATAAAAAATGACGCAACATATCATACGAAATGGATGACGTAGTACACAATTGTGCACAATTTTCGGGATCCGTTTTGTCTCGTGCACACTACTTTTAAAACTACTGGCTGAAATTATAAAAAAGCTCTGGAGCATCCCTTTAAGGGAACTCATTCATTCATTCTACTAATTTAACTAGGATAGTCCACTGAGTAACAATTTCCACTGTTTTCTGGGGAATCCCTGGGTTAACTGGGTCAGCTTAATGTAAATAACACATCATTATCCATGTAGATAATGTAGTGATAAGGTAAGGTCAAGAAATATCCGTTGCCTAGTCTGATTCCTATAATCTATAGTTGCTATAGGTTATCTATGTGCAGGCCTGGCTGAGATAGTGTGTTGTACACTGTACGTGGTGTACCTTAAATGCACAGAACGGATAGGTTGTTCGTAAAAAAAGGACACATGCACAGGTATGCATACACTCCACGACTCGCACACACATTGATATATACACACATACGCATGCTAGCTTATAGATAAGTAAAGTACAACAGTGGTGTTTGTCATTGGTCTGAATGTATTCTATAGTGTTATTTACTGCTGTGTCGGCTCACTTCATTCTGTGCAGGTTGGGTACACAGGGGCCATGTGAGACTGATGTCTAGAACAGGGGTATTCATTCATATTTGACCAAATAAAACCTTTTAAAATATCACTAACTTAAACATGACAGTTCAGTCAGTGTTTTCCTGTCTTTTTGAGGAAACTTCAGATGAAATCACTAATTGTAGTATTCAGCCACCGTCACACCATCTGTTTATAAATGTGATGGTTGTTTGGGTGGGTTTTTTAAGACAGGGAAAATGCCCCCCGTCTGTCTGTCTGTCTGTCTGTGTGTGATGATGGTGAAGCTGAGAACAAGATATCTACACAAGATCCAGTTTCTAGCTCAGCGCATAATAACACAATGGGTTAACTGACCCTGCCACGCTGTCTATGATCTAACAGTGTGAGGGTAGTGTACGCAATCTGGAAGCATTTGTGTGTGTGTGTGCAGTCCATGTGGCATGCTCATGTGTATGTGTCCTTCTGCTCCAGTAGACCGGGCCATTAGTGAAGGTGGAAAAAAGAGTGCTGCCTCAGAGGAGCAGGAGGGTGAGAGGTTAACACTCACACACACACGGTCCAATACCCATACTGCCCTCATTCAGAGAGAGGAGGAAGATATTCAAGAATGAAAGGCAAGGGAGAGAAACTATGAGGGATACAGAGAAGAATAGAGGGAAGGAGGAAGAGAGAGAGGGGGAGAGATCGAGAGGAGAGAGAGAGAGGGAGCGATCAAGAGGGAGTTGAATGGACATGTGAGGTCTCTGCACTCGTTTGTCTGAAAAATGACTGTAGCGACCATCATCCCTTCTTCACGGTCACTGAGCTTCTCCTGAACTTGATATTAATGAGGGGAACATGTCCCTGTGTGTGTGTATGCATGTGTGTGTGTGTGTGTGTGTGCCTGTGTGTGTTTCTTACTCTTCTCTTTCTCCACCTCCATGACTTGTTTCTTCCACTCGTCGAAGGTTGGGATGTCCTCCTTACTGGGCACTGAGGGGTCCGTCTCCCTACCGCTGGCATCCACTGCCTAGACATAGAGACACACGTTATACAGACATGTTACACACACATCCAGTGAGCGGTCTTTATGTATTACATCATTTCTTTATAAGATCCCAGAACGGTCGACAAAGCCACCAAATGGCAAAGCCTCTTCATAAACACACAGATACTGGCCAATTCGGTTTAGCTCTGTCTGTCTGCAGCCAATGTGGTTGAAGAACAGAACAGCTCTGTACCAATACTGGACAGGGCTTTTAATTCATCACCATCTACAAACAAAGGCTCTCCCTCTTCTTCTCTCATTCCCACTCTCGCTCTCTCTCTCTCCCTCCATTCTCTCTCACTCACACCCTTCCTTCCCTCCCTCCTTCCCTGCTTCCAGTAAGAGAAAGGGAGAGGGAGCAGAGGGTTGATTCACTGAATGAAACATTAATGAAGCAGCTTTTTGAGAGGACTGGCAGCCAAGCCGTGTGTAGCTCCACCCCTCAATGCTCACACGCAAACCTCTACACTCCCCATTACACTTACAGTCTACTCTCTGTGACATTGGGGAACAGGTTGTGGGACTCCCTCTCACCTGCTGGTCTTGGTCTGTGTCTTGGTGCCTGTAGGAGGTGTTTCCCCCCTGGTCCAGTTCTGGTAGACCTTGGTCCTGGTCTTGGTCCTCTGGGCTGAGAAATGCCTGGACATCAGTATCAGAACCTGGACCAGCCTGAATTTGATCCTGCTCTGACTGGCTCTCTACTGGGTCACTATGGAGAGAGCGAAAGAAGGAGAGGGAGGGGAGGAGAGAAGAGAGGGGGTTAGAGGGGATGAAAGGAGAAACAGTGCATAGTCTGGATCCACACAAAGTATTTTCTTTCAATAACATTCCTTCCGTTCATTTGTGCCATGTCATCAACACTGTGTATGTCCGTAACGAGCAACACGGCAAAAAAATCAAAAATGAATAAAGGAGTGCAAGGTCTGCCGTCATTGGTTGAGCGTAGAAGAGAAGAGAGGAGTGTCTGGCATCCGATTGGTTACCTGTATGGTTGTTTGCCCATTTCTGTTCTCTGATTGGCTCAATGCAGACTTGGTAATCACCTTGTGGGCGGGCTGCCAAAAGAGGGATTTGGGTTGCCAGGTTGTAGGGAATCACCCCACACAGAGTCAGAGAGATCAGCAGAAACATTGCCCTCTAGATAGGAATTAGATCCAGCACTGGCAACCTCTAAAGAGGGAACGGCTTCAGCACTGGCAACCTTTACAGGGGGATCCCTCTACCGCAGAATCAGACCTGGCAACCTCTATTGAACCGAGGGTAAGAAAGGACCCGGAATTTATGGAAGAGCCCTTAGGAGGGAGGAAGAGAGAGCGAGAGGGAGATAGAGGAAATATGGGGTGGGGAGGAGAGGAGAGGAGGAGACCGAGGGATGGGGGAGAGCGAGAGAATGGGGTGCGGAGGAGGGGCGGTCTTCGGAATGGTAAGCCTCCTCCAGCCCAGGCTGTGGGGAGCCAATGTTCGTTCAAAAAGGTGAGTGTCCACATCTCGGCAGTAAACTAGCCAGTAAACCTCCCGGCAGAACCAGCCAACCATCCAGAGATTCAATGACACCTGATCAGATCCAGGTGTGGCCATCTCCAGTTTGTCAGACAATAAACAGTTCCACTTATTCCCACCATGTTTCAAGACCAGTCCAAGTTATGTCCAGGTCCAGTGAGGTTTATTGACAAAGGAACCAGTGCACAAAGTTAACTGTAGGTTTACAGTAGCAACCCGTGTATATAGAAAGGGGCAGTGAAAAAATAAACAATATTTCAGCTCAAAGGGAATATCAGTTAAATAACTGGATGTACGTCACAGAGGTTGACTAATGACACCACCTCTTACGATACGATAAATACTTTAAATGATAAAGAGGAAATTGTCTTGGACCCATAATTCTGCTATATAAACAGAAATAACATCTCATACACATCATATGTACAATACACATTTCTCATTTTAGTCATTTAGCAGTGCACTCATCTTAAGATAGATAGTGGGACAACCACATATCACACAGTCATAGTAAGTACATTTTTCTTCAATAAAGTAGCTATCAGCATAGTCAGAGCTAGTGAAGGGGAAAAGAGTCAAGTGTCTGTTCACTAAAGGCTTTTTGAGGAGAGGGTGCAAGGGGGGTGCAGTGGGATTATTTAAGATACTCTGTGAAGAGGTAGGTTTTCAGATGTTATCAGAAGATGGGCAGGGACTCTGCTGTCCTAGCTTCAGGGGTAAGCTGGTTCCACCATTGGGATGCCAGGACAGAGAACAGCTTGTACTGGGCTGAGTGTGAGCTGCTCTCCTGTAGGGGTGGGAGGGCCAAGTGACCAGAGGTGGAAGAACTGAGTACTCGGGTTGGGGTGTAGGGTTTGAGCAGAGCCTGAAGGTAGGGAGGGGCTGTTCCGTAGGCAAGTACCATGGTCTTGTAGTGGATGCAAGCTTCTACTGGAAGCCAGTGGAGTGTGAGGAGTAGCGGGGTGACATGGGAGAATTTGGGAAAGGTTGAACACCAGGCGGGCTGCAGCGTTCTGGATAAATTGCAGGGGAAACCGTGGAGTTGTCAACAGTGATGGAGAGGTCTTGGAGCGGGCAGGCCTTCCCCGAGAGGAAGAGCAGCTACGTCTTGTCAAGGTTGAGCTTAGGGTGGTGGGCCGACATCCAAGCGGAGATATCTGCCAGGCACGCAGAGATGCGTGTCTCCACCTGGGTGTCAGAAGGGGGGAAGGAGAAAAGTAGTTGAGTGTCATCCGCATAGCAATGATAGGAGAGACCATGTGAGGATATGATGGAGCCGAGTGACTTGGTGTTAAGGGCTGCACGATAGATCGTTTCAGCATCGACATTGCGATGTATGCATCCGCAATAGTCACATCGCAGAACGTGCGATTTAGTAAGGTAAACATATATCAGTCTACAATATATTAATATTTTTTTATGTTAAACTAGCATTATATCTGTCTGATATAACGTAATTTACTCCGATTTATGGGTTATTGGATACACAGTTTATTATTATTATTTTAAACACGGAGTTGGTTGCTGCACATGGTTGCCATGCAGGCTCTGCTTGCGCGTGACGAAATGATGAGCGAGGAACAGGCAAAAAAGACCGAAATTGAGAATTTGGTTGCAAAAATAAATGCATCGTCAATTATATGGAAATATTTCGGCTACAGACAGGATGATGTTGACCAAAAATAGGTACTTTGTCGAGAGTGCCTTGCAATTGTTGCCACAACACGAGGCAACACGACCAATTTGTTCGATCATTTAAGGCGGCACCACAAATCTTCCTATGACGAGTGCAAAGCATCTCAATGCCCTCCAAAGCAAAAATCAATTTCGGATGCCTTTGCCAGTATTACACCATACGAGAAATGTTCCAAACGGCAGAGAGAAATCACAGATTCAATAAAATTTCACGTCGCCAAAAGACATGGTACCAATTAACACGATTACCAAAGAGGGTTTTAAAAACATGATCCGGTCGCTTGACAAGCAGTATGTAATGCCATCACGCAACTATTTTTCTCAAGTTGCCATCCCAGAGTTGTATGAGAAATGCAAGACAAGTTGAAACAGAGCTGTCACAAGTGGAATATTATACAGCAACAACGGACTTGTGGTCCAGCCGGACAACGGAGCCCTACATAAGTCTGACCGTACACTTTATTAATGAGGACTTCCACCTGGAAAGTCGTTGTTTGCAAACTGCATTTTCCCCAGAGGATCATACATACAGTGGGGAGAACAAGTATTTGATACACTGCCGATTTGCAGGTTTTCCTACTTACAAAGCATGTAGAGGTCTGTAATTTTTATCATAGGTACACTTCAACTGTGAGAGACGGAATCTAAAACAAAAATCCAGAAAAACACATTGTATGATTTTTAAGTATTTGATCACCTACCAACTAGTAAGAATTCCGGCTCTCACAGACCTGTTCGTTTTTCTTTAAGAAGCCCTCCTGTTCTCCACTCATTACCTGTATTAACTGCACCTGTTTGAACTCGTTACCTGTATAAAAGACACCTGTCCACACACTCAATCAAACAGACTCCAACCTCTCCACAATGGCCAAGACCAGAGAGCTGTGTAAGGACATCAGGGATAAAATTGTAGACCTGCACAAGGCTGGGATAGGCTACAGGACAATAGGCAAGCAGCTTGGTGAGAAGGCAAGAACTGTTGGCGCAATTATTAGAAAATGGAAGAAGTTCAAGATGACGGTCAATCACCCTCGGTCTGGGGCTCCATGCAAGATCTCACCTCGTGGGGCATCAATGATCATGAGGAAGGTGAGGGATCAGCCCAGAACTACACGGCAGGACCTGGTCAATGACCTGAAGAGAGCTGGGACCACAGTCTCAAAGAAAACCATTAGTAACACACTACGCCGTCATGGATTAAAATCCTGCAGCGCACGCAAGGTCCCCCCGCTCAAGCCAGCGCATGTCCAGGCCCGTCTGAAGTTTGCCAATGACCATCTGGATGATCCAGAGGAGGAATGGGAGAAGGTAATGTGGACTGATGAGACAAAAATAGAGCTTTTTGGTCTAAACTCTACTCGCCGTGTTTGGAGGAAGAAGATGGATAAGTACAACCCCAAGAACACCATCCCAACCGTGAAGCATGGAGGTGGAAACATCATTCTTTGGGGATGCTTTTCTGCAAAGGGGACAGGACGACTGCACCGTATTGAGGGGAGGATGGATGGGGCCATGTATCGCGAGATCTTGGCCAACAACCTCCTTCCCTCAGTAAGAGCATTGAAGATGGGTCGTGGCTGGGTCTTCCAGCATGACAACGACCCGAAACACACAGCCAGGGCAACTAAGGAGTGTCTCCGTAAGAAGCATCTCAAGGTCCTGGAGTGCTTTGTAAGACCTCCAAATGCTTTGTAAGTAGGAAAACCTGCAAAATCGGCAGTGTATCAAATACTTGTTCTCCCCACTGTACATCCTGTATTTTTTCATATCGCAATATATAATCGCAGA